ATTCCAAAGGCACGTCCTTTAAAATTCAGCTTCAGAAAAATTTGCCAATATACAAATTGAACGAGGTGAAACAATAACAAAGGTTTGAGAATGCGTTAAACAAAGGTTTAAAGGTTCTTCTTCGGTCACGTTTAATGAGTCACACCATATGTGGTAAGTCACGTGACCAGAATATAAAAAAAATCACTCTTTAAAACCCAAACGTCTTGCATCTTTCACAATAAAACCAATGCCAATGGCTTAAGAATATCACAATAAAAAGTCTAACTTACTAACAAGTTTAACGTTCGTTCTCAAAATTCACATTTATCGAAAAAGCTATGACGTCATTGAGGGGTATTTTCATACATTTTCTTTAACAGACTTTCTTGCTTTCGTCTGAACGCTAATTTCATGCTGCAGATGTTAAAAAAAGTCAAATTGCTTATGATTCGCCAAAAAATGGATTCTCTTTCCTTTGAACTTTTACGCTTTTTCATTTCTAAAGCGGGATTGGGGACTGGCACTAGTTGCGCATGTGTAATGTCCATTTAGTGTTGTCTTATCCTCAGTTTCACGGTTCCCACCATGTTAGCGGGTTAAGACACGTGAGAAATAGTAACAAATAACATAACTTACCATAAAAAAAGATGAAAAATATGAAGGCAAATAACAAAACGATATTGAAAGGAGAGTGAGGATAGCGAAAACTCGTGCCAAATTGCCAAAAGCCGAAGAAAGGAAAATGGACTGGGAATCTGTCTCGCATGGCTCACATGATGACTCGCTGGCTCGACTCGCATGACTCGCTGGCTCGCTGGCTCGCAGTTTGTCAAGACCCTATGGGATAGAGGTTCATCGGGCGGTCGCGTTACCAAAGCAGCCGTACAGTTGCAGCATGATAGAACTTGGTTTTAAGGCGACCTAAGATTTTTTCTCTATTTTGTATCAGTCTTCGTGGCATTACTTTTGGCAACAACTTAATCTCAAGTTCTTGTTTCAATAAGGGAGGCTTCAGCATGTACTTGCTCTTTTTCAGAAACACTTCTTACCCCTGAGCATGGAGATTTTCGTGTGTCGTCTTTTAATAGCTTATGGTCAGAGTCTGATCATGATCCTGTTTGCGGCCTTACCAACAGAGAATTTTTTTTTAACATTGGCTGTTTGTTCCCTAGTGATACTTGTAGAAGATCCTTCAAATGGTATTGTAGCAATATTGATATCAGAACTTGAACTCACCTTCATTGGCGTCAGAGGGCATTACTGCAGCTGAAAGGAAAATGAGTAACAAAATTTGCTTCATGGTGGTGCACGCAGTTTCAAGACCGTCGACGTCTATTTGTAAAATTAATTAAAATGCAACGGGGTGTCCAGTTTTATGCGTCCTGCTGCATGTAATTATTTCTGGAATGGTCTACTTATCAGAGGCAAGGTCAAAGAGAGGTAATGGTAAGAAAAGAAGCAATTGATTAGCTAAGCCAGCCAATACCGATGAAACCTGAACTTACTCAGGATGAAAGGCAATTCTAAAACGTGACTGTTTTCAGGTTCTGTTATGCCTTTTTCTTTTAATTCGATCTGCGTCATTATGATGTGTGCAGCTTCAAAATAATCAATGAATGTTTTAGTTCAAACTTTTGCGATCACGAGGCCGGAGAGAAAATCTTTTCAGAAAACATTTTTCCTAGCCCATCAGACGGTACGTGTTGTAGGTGATTTCAGCAAGGGTAGCCGCAAGTAAAATATTCCTTTACAGCTGATGTAAGACGTGTTGTACCTGATTGCATCAAGAAAGGAAATGAAATGTTCCTCAGACTCATGTCAGCAATTTACGGTTGTTTGTGAACTAAAAATACTCGGATTGTTTTCTTTAAAGCCGACTACGAACAAAGGTCTGATGTAAGACGTGTTGTACTTGATTGTAGCAAGAAAGGAAATAACATGTTCCTCAGACTCATGGCAGCAATTACTGTTGTTGTGAACTAAAAGTACTCGGATTGTTGTTTCCTTTCTTTCCCGGCCGGCACTGAGGAGCAAAGGCTCCCGGTGAGGGTAAAAGGCGGAATGAAATTGAGGAGTGGCATGTGGCATGGCTTGCGAAATGTACTATATGCAGAATGAGTGAAAGAAATCAATTGAGCAGAAAAGCGCTCGCCAATTAACGTCCCGGGCTCGACTACGATGACAAACAAAAAGCCACGAAGCTAGGTTTCACTCTCGATTGGCCTTTTTCGCTCAACTACAAAGATTCTACTACTTGCCTTTATTAGTCGGGCTGCATGGCACTGCAGATGTACGTACATAACAAAAGTCGGCCAATAAAGAAGAGATGTTTTAGAAGGTCACGCTCCCTTCTGCTGTAATGTTTCTGCAAAAGATGTTTGCACGATTAACTTCACAGTAATTATCAATTTTAACATGGCAAATTGAATTTTGCAATCGACCCCGATAACTCGAATTCTCGCTAACCCAGTCCAGCTGTGACTCGAACTGTTTTTTGTTTCCCTTCCGAGTTCGAGTTACTGGCGTTCTATACTGTATTTGAAACCGCGTGAGAAGTCTTTCTTTTTGAGACGGTGTGTTGCGTGATCGTGACATAATATTCTATCAGAGATCAAATATATCAGACTTCACGTTCAACGATCGTTCTTTTCCCACTACTGTTACGATAAAGATTGACCCTTGATTTGAGTTTAGTGAAGTACAGGTTATATACCCCTAAATAAAAGAACCGACAGATTTGCGACACAACACGTCTGCACGTATTTACGAGACTTATTTGTTTATTTCATTTGGGACTACCGAGTCTACCATTTCCTAGCAGCCTCGTAAGGCTTGCAGCTACTAGAAATGATTTCCTCCATAATCCTCGTGAACTCCAAGGTACTGCTCTGCCTTGTTGGTTTGAGCCAGCAAAGCGGTTGCTCCTTCAAATTTGCGCCAAAAAAATCGCCTGCCAAAAAAAGACGAGGCAGAGACGCGCGTATGATTTTCTGTTTAGTTTATTTCTTTGCGCCATTTCCATATATTACATTCCCCATATTAAATTATGTCATTCCGCAAGCCATGCCACATGCCCGATTCCGCAAACTCATTCCGATTTTTACCCTCACCACAAAGGTCTGATATGGAACGTGCTGTAGCTGCTCAGCTGCAGCGAGAAATGAAGTGAAATACTAGCACTGATAGAGACTTAAAATTCCCGTACGACCTTACCATTAACACAAACAAACAAACATAGCACCTAACTTGGCTTATTTACTCTTCCAACTTCATGATTTTCAACTCTTACATCTGATATTTCGTGCCGCACAACTGAGAAATCAAGATAAAAAATGTTCGTTTAGCGCTAGATGAAAGGGAAAGCGAAAATGAAAATATTTTTCTCTGTGACGTGCGTTAAGGCAAAGGAGAACAACAAGATTTATCTTCAGGTTAAGCAGCTTCATCCGGTTCTAGGCAATCTAGAGAAAGTTATTGGCGATCAACCATATTTATGAACATATTTTCAAAACCCAGACCTTAAACTGCTTGAGGATAAGGTTGTTGTAAGTCTGTGAGTTTGCTAAACTATTTTACGACAGGAGTGCTCAGTAGAGCCGATATTCAAAAATGCCGTTCCTCAGGCATCGTGATGCTGGCTGGGACGTATGGCATCTTAGTAAAAATTGGCTGGGAATTAGTTAGGGATATTAGCTTGCTGGCGATTTTTTCTACCTAAACTATTTTTGGCTGGGAGATGACACGCGACGCTCTCTTCCTGGCTCACACAGACTCATTTTTTATCGTTTTGGTGGGAAAAACTCCAAGCAGTTAACGCCCAGTACAACGCCGATCATATGACTTGCAGATGACATTTGTAACTGTTAACTAAAACTCTTCTACGCCCCTCAAATCGATATCTGGCAACAGCCTGTCAATCGGTGTAAAATCAACCGTTTCATTCATTTTGCGCATAGACCGGTACTTCCAGAGAGAGAGAGAGAGAGAGCGGCGAAAGTTTTGAGCTGACTGTTCACAATTTACACTGGAATGCTTTAGAGCTTTTTCTTCTTCCTTCGGAATCGTTGGTATATATTTTCTGGGGATCACAACCTAGTGTTGTTTTGTAACGGTAAAAAGTTACTTACTTGCTTACTAACTCACTTTTGGCTAGTGACCGAAAACATAAGCCAGGTATAGTTGCCTTGCATTAGTCTTGATAAGGTTCTCTAATTGAACTATCTAGAGTAGCTGTTACATCGCACACCAATTTTGTATTTTGTATGTGGTGTGAGCGGTCTGAAGGAATACTCGAATTAACCAGAGTGAAAAGAATCGGATAACGAAGGTTTTACTGCGCGGTAAATGTTAGAAAATGTGGGCAAAATCATATGTCTTCTTTGTTTATTCGCACTGAGCTCGCCACTTTTCTTGCCGTGGTTTATAATCACTATTAACAGCAATTTTTGAGTTTTTACTGAAGTGAAATATTTATCAAGTTTAGTGTATGATATTCACCAAAATTACGTGTATTCCCATTCAGCAGAGATCTGGTGGAGCTTCAAAGTGAGTCATTGAGTGGAAAATTGGTCCAGCTAAGGAGTTATGGTAAGAAAGTGCAGTTAATTTAAAAATAACTTTTAGCTTTCTGTTCAGATCTTATTTGAGAGTTAAAGGATGATAAGTTTCTTGTAAGTCTGTGAGTTTGCTAAACTATTTTTCGATACACCAGACTGACGATACACTAAAAGAGGTTTTAGGAACCATTAGTCAGTGAATCGATTTACCGGAAGTCACTCAGCGCTGACCAGTCTTCACGTGTTTCGCTTTGAAAAGACTTCGTAAAATGATCCAGTTATTTATTTATTTATTTATTTATTATTTTCCCACAATAAAGATTACACAAGCATTACATTATACAAAGATGTGGCGAGGGGACCTCAGAAAACCACAAGGCTTGTACGAGGAGGCCCCCTCGTTACAATAATATTAAGCAATAGAACTATAACAACACACAACAACGGACAGTACAAGACGCATTATCGATATAGTAGAAAATCAAAAACTTTCGTTTTAAACGATTGCAATGTAAAAATCGAAGTGACTGAGTTTGGTAAAGAATTCCAAATTTTTGGGCCTTGGAACAAAATAGAAAATTGTTTGGTGTTAGTTCGGCAGGCATGAGAACGGAAATGCGAGGAACTTCTAGTATTATAATTATGAATATTGCTACTAGTAACAAAAAGGTTCGAAAAAAGCGGTGGCAGTAATTGATGATAATATGAAAACATAAATTGTGCAGTATAGAATGAATTAATGTTGTATATGTCCAAAATCTTTAAACGGAAAAATAATGGTTCAGAGTGCGCGCGAAAATCTGCATTTGTAATAATTCGTACTGCTCGCTTTTGTAGAAGAAAAATTCTATTAAGGTTTGTTACATAAGTGGAGGACCAAACTGTGGTACAATATGTTAAATAAGGATAAATTAAGGTATAATAAAGAGACTTTTTTTTGTTTCAGAAAGAAAGAAACGAGACCTAAACATGACGCCAATAGATTTTGAAATTTTCTTACATATATAAGTAATATGCGGCTTCCACGTTAGATGCTCGTCGATAAAAACCCCTAAAAATTTAACTACCTTTACTTGTTTTAATAAAACCTCATCGTACAAGACAGGATTTATTGGGAAGCCGACTGGTTTTTGCCTTGCTGCAAAAATGATATAATTAGTTTTCGTTATGTTAACAGAGAGCTTATTTGCTTTCATAAAAAGATCAATTTGAGATAAATCATTATTTACGGCAGAAATAGCACAATTTAAATCGGGATTAGAATAAAACACACTAGTATCATCTGCAAAAGCATAGTTTCAGCAAGACGAGTAGCACAAGGGAGGTCATTGATATACAAAACAAACAATAATGGTCCTAATATAGAACCTTGAGGGACTCCACAGCTCAGAGTCAGCCTAATAGAACAAGTCTCTTTGTACTGGACGAACTGCACGCGATTTGACAAATAGCTTTTCAACCAGCTAAGTGCTAGCCCATGAATCCCATAATGCTCAAGCTTAGACAAGAGTATTTGATGGTCTAAAGTATCAAATGCTTTTGATAAGTCTAAGAATATGCCAACTGTATATTCGCTTCTGTCAATAGCAGTTGCAATTTTATTAATAAGATGAATTAAAGACAGCGCTGTAGAATATTTTTTACGAAATCCAAATTGGCAACAGTATAAGATATCTAAACGATCTAAAAAATTTGTAATACGATTGTGCATAACTCTTTCAAAGAATTTAGAAAAATTAGAAAGAAGCGAAATTGGACGGTAGTTAGTGAAATACTGGGAATCACCAGCTTTAAATACCGGAATCAGTTTAGCAATTTTCAATTCATCAGGAAATACTCCTTTAATAAGAGACAAATTGATTACATTGGCCAAAGGCTGAGAAATGAGATCAAAGGTGCTTTTTATTATATCCATTGAAACGTTATCATATCCAGGCGACTTTCCAGATTTAAAAGAGTTGCATATTTGATTTAGTTCCGAAATATTAGTTGGATTTAAGATAAGCGACTCATTAACAGAAACGCCAAGAAAACTACGAAAAGATACTTGTGTGTCTGGAATTTTCCTTGCTAAATTCGGACCTATGTTGGTGAAGAACTTACAAAAGCAGTTAGCTATTTCTTGTGGATCATTTAACAGTTTTCCATCAGAGAAAAAGGAATTTGGCAGAGCTGCTTTTCTGCTCGGTTTGTTGATTACATCATTGATTAGTTTCCAAGTTTCTTTCAGGTTATTTTTAGCCTTCTCAAATTTTGTATCATAGTACTTTCGTTTAGCAATTTTTATAAGATGATTCAGTTTATTCCGATAGCGTTTGTATTTTAACTCAGTAGTTGAGTCCCTAGAATTAATGAACTGCTTATAGAGTTTATCTTTTTTCCTGATAGAAACAAGCAGAGATTGCGTTATCCAAGGGGAGCGCATTACTTTCTTTGTTTTAAGTTTTATCGTTTTTAATGGAAAGCTTTCATTGTATAATCGAACATACTCACTCACAAAACTATTATAACATTCATTAGTATCGCTTTCATCGAAACGTAAATTCCAATTAACACGAGAAAGAGAGAGCCGAAAATTGCTCTTATTTCTTTCTGAAAAATCTCTTTTAGTGAGATATTTAGTTTGGCTATTTTTCGACGCTATTTCTGTCTCATCCACTTCATAAACAAAAACCGGTAGATGGTCAGAAATATCATTAATAACAATACCATTGAAATGTTTACACCTTACATTATTCGTGAATATATTATCAATAAGTGTGGCCGAGTGTAAGTGTATACCGGAAATACGTCTGCTGTTCGTAGGCTAGTTAACTCACAGACTCCCGTAAAACTTATAACGTTTCAGCTTCAAAACGTAAAACCTTATCTTTGCACGACTATTCTTATCTGTTATGCTTGACCTTGGTTGATGGCGCAGGGGATTCCACGGTCTTTAACTCCTCTAGGAATAAATAGACGTGACGAAGCTCACTGATATATGATACCAACTAGTCTCCTATATCAATAACAATCCATAGTCACATTTTCAAATTCTTATTTGTAATGAACTTTTAGTTTTATTTTCATTTTTCTTTCAGCCCCTGAAGAAGGTTTGTTTGCAAACCGAAATATTGGGCAATTTTTTTAAATATATATTTTTGTTTCATTTTTTTGTTTACTTCTTCATCGCCTTGCCGTAAGGATCAGTTTGCCGTTTCCTATTTTTCTACCAGCTTAGTATCCAGGTCCTTTTTGGGACCAATTCCAAAGCGAACTTCAGAGCACTTTTATGAACGGAAGAAAGAAAGTCTTTCCGTTCTCCCGTGAAAAATTGTCTTTCTCCTCTTATTGCATGTATTATAGAACATATTAGCCATAAGCAAGTATGTAAAAAGGGGACTCATGAGTAAGAAGAACCAGGAAAGATGATTACAGTTGAACCTCTCCACAACGGCCACCTTTTGGGGGGGGGGGGGAGGGGTGTGTCTTGAAAACGAAGACCTACGACCTAGAAAGCGACAAAAAAGTTTATTGTAGTTTAATTGAAAAGAAATATGAGATCCGCCTATTGTCACCCAGCACTTCTCTGTACGGGCTTAAGTCACGCTAGCTCGGCTCAGAATGCATGTCGCTGCTGCTGAAGGTAGTATCAAATAGAAATCTACATTCCTACAGTGAATTTTTCACGATAACTTCTCAGTATTCGCCAGATTGAAAAATCTTTGAATGAATGACATCGCTATGAAGACATGTATATCAAATTTGAGAAAACGGGCAGACAAAAATTGTATGACATACGCAGGTAGACATAAGGACGGGGTTGGGCTGGGAACTAGGTGGATTTTAAGAGAAAAGGCGGACTGCAAGCAGTCTATTAAATATTCAATTTTATTACTCATGCTTGTTGTTTTAAAATTAAAATACAGTTTCGCTGTTTCCACCAGTAATTTTGTCTAGTTACATTATCACTATTAAAATCCATAATAGATCGAGAGCGCGTGTGAGGGGCGAGCGGCAAGCCTCAGCTCAAAACGTTAGAATCCTACGCATTTCGTAGTTAATCGGCTAAAACTTGTATTTTATCACAGTAGCGAAATGCTTTCAACACAAGTCATCATTTGATTTGATTCATCACTGAAATGTAACCATCACTGAACAAAACCCGGATCTCGTCCGATGATACGATCAACCCCGCCCTGTATTTCACTTAACGACAAAAGGTTTGGGACAGTGTTCAGAGGTTGAACCGATCCTGTCTGATCCAGATTTTGTCAAGGACCGTTTTGTTGGTCAGGCCTGAATTTTTTTGCTTTTTTTCTTTCGACCGCTTGGGTTTTTTATTTAACCATTTCCACTTTCACATCTTTATCCGCAGTTCAAAACATGAGTCATTTCATATATATCAATTCACGACCTGAAAATATGAAGAGTGTCGTTTGGAATTTAATGGGCGAAAGAAAATGCGAATATAAAGAGGTCGACGTTTTCTAGGTCGTTTTCTAGTTCGTCGCTTTCTAGGTCGTAGTTTTTTAGGTCTTCGTTTTCTAGATCGTTTTCTGGCTGGGGACAGAAGAAAGTGGCCGTTCTAGGGAGGTTTAGACAAGAGTCAATGTATGGACTGTCCGAGTGGCCGTTATAGTAGAGGGTCGACTGCATATGATTTTGGTATATATTGGATCCGCGGAATAACAAAAGAAAAATACAAAGGAGATCATCAGAGTTAAAGTCATAACTCACGCAGTTAGGAAAACAAAGGCTTAAAAAATTGAGGCTTGCCGGGAAAGAGTTAGGAAATTGTAAAGTGAGTGCAAAAAAGAGAGAGACGCCCGTAACGTAACGTGGGGCTGGAAACCATGAGCACATGAGAAGAAAACTGCCCACCGAACTTTGATTAAAGCCAAGCTGTACGTTATAATCCGTTAATAAATTATTTATGAATCTCGTCTTGGCTTTTCACGTGAGTTAGCTCTCGAGTAGACTCAGCTACAAGTCGACCTCTTAAAAATGAGCGAAGCTACCTTCAATGCATGAGACTGCGCAGCGACCTGGCGAGCGACGAAGTGTCTCGAGGTCGACCTGTTTCGCCTGACCCTAAAGCCTCGGAGACATTAGACTACGAGTAGTCCCTATTTTCCCTCAGGGATAGTCGAGCGAACGAAACGCGCGTGATTTTCACGCGCGCTCGCGTTTCGCTCGCTTTACTATCCCTGAGGAAAAATGGAGACTACTCGTGGTCTACGGAGACATGGTAGAATTTTAATACATCGAACGTGGACTGTTGTCATGACGTCACCGGTAGAATTTTCGACCGGTGAATTTCGCGCCAAACAGGTATAAAATGGCAGAACCAACCTGGAAAAAAAATAAAGGACTTTTAGAATGTCTAGCTCTCGAGCAAGTCACCACAAATGGCTGTTCTAAATTTCACGCACTCGTCCTCCAGTCGCTGGTGGATCCAGCACACTTGTAATAGCAGTGTTTTAAGTTTTTGCCTCTTGTTTTAGAATCTCGTATTCTCCGGCAGCAATCTGACTTCTGAACCTCTGAAAGAAGGCGCACGTGAATAACCACTTGCATCCAACACGGTGTGTTACAGTCTCTCAATGAATATTGATCGCACGCTAACCATACTATTGTAAGAGCTACTTGAAAGGAACATTTGCCACGTGTTCATTTGGGAACGGAATACGCCTGCTAGCGAATTCGATCGTGTTTTAAAATGCCATCGCCATGCAATTAGCTGGCAAAAATAGCTGAGCTGCCGCGTAATGTCGATTAACCTGCGACAGAAGATAAGAAAAACAACCTAAACTCGAATACAAAACCAGCTGCTACAAAAGCTGCATGGGGGTCCACGGTGGATCAGCCGAATTGCAAAAGCTCACTGGGGAAAAGAGAAGACCTGCTACGAATTCCGCCCACGCATGAGCGATGCAAACGATCTCGTGAACCGATAATTTCATAAACGGTCTCCGGGCTTTCTCCGGAGACTGTACTTTTTGGATGGATGTTAAATCGTTTTGATAGAATAAACAAACTCGACCGCGACTACGCATGTTAGCAAATTTTATCACTTGTTTGCCCCCTAAAATACCACGTGATATTACTTTTATCCCATCGATCCTAAGACGCGTGTAAAGCTGGCGAGTAGCATGAAGAAGGTCTATTGAGCTAACCGTCAAAAGATAACTGATAAAGAACATGCTGAAGAAAAAACTTAGCCATTAATGAACTATTTCATGGGAAAGGAGTTCAACCGTGAACATTTTCCCGCTTTCGATGTCTCGGTTTTTGAAAACAAAAGAACTTAAGCTTCCGATGAAGATGGTCGTTTTAACCAAACTCAGCCATTGTCTGCTTTGCTTTTTTCTTAGAGGTCACTTTGATTCTTTCTTTTTACAAAGTTTTCATGCAAGCATTTCTCATTGGTTCGCTTAAAACACCGACTCCCTCTCCCCATAAGCTCGATCAACCGATGGCCTGGATGAGCCCGTGTTTAAGTTTATCTCTTGACCCGCAGATGGCTTTCTACAGGAACACTCAACTTCAGATGAAGTTGCGCTCAGTTTCTGGATATCCTTTTCTTCTGTTTCTTCCAACTGGCAAGTGCAATTTTTTTCCAGAGCGACTGAGTACATTTCCATGTTGACTTCTTTCACTGGGTCTTTATCTAAGGGAATAAATCGGTTGGCAGCGTGATGTAATCTTGGTGAATCTTCAACGATTTCACTATTTTCAGGTGTGGCAAGGATGATTGTTGCGTCTGTTTTCTTTTTGTCTTTTATAAAATGGGCTCTGAACCTCTTCTTCAGTTTGACACTTTGACTTGTTTCTTTGCCTGAATCAAAATGAGAGGAGAGTTAAACTTCATTAGGCCGGTCATTTGTACAAAGTCTTACTTAGACCAAAGTTTACAACAAGTGCGGTGTGGGTAAGGGGGAATTTGAGAAATGGCATGTGGTAGGGCTTGCGGAATAGCATAATTATGTGGAATGTAATATATGCAGATGACTCGAAAATTTTAACGAAGCGCGCCGGTTTTAAAAACGGTGAAGGTCAAAGCCAGAATGAGTTTGCGCAATAGCATGTGGCGTTACTTACGGAATGGCATAATTATGCGGAATGTACTATATGCAGAATGAGTGAAAGAAATAAAAAAATTCCTTGATCGTGAGAATCAAAACAGATCCTTGCCACTAGCACCACCACCATCGCCACTATCACGGACATCTACCACCACAAATAACATCACTATTGACTGTACCGCTAATATACAGATTTACCCAAGGGCAAGAGCGAAGCTCTCGGCGGAACTTTTAAGAAATGCTTTTCTGAAGTTAAGTTTTCTGAGTCTGCGATCATTTATGATGACATAACTGATCAGTGGAGAATTAAAAAAAAAACACGTATCAGCAATGAGCTGTACACCTGCGCCCGCGATACTTTCATGTGACACGGGTCAGCAGATACCCGATTTTGACAGCCGTCAATTGATCATTAACATGTTTCAAGTTAAACACAATTTGTATATGCCTTGGTAAGTAAGACAATTCACATCCGCTAACAAGAAGGGTTGAAGGTACGTACGGGCGTTCTTGCCTGCATAGATAACCAAATTTTCTCTCTCATGGTGCGTCGGTGCGCAAGATGTCACAACCACGAAAAGTGCAGTACGATTAAAACCATAACTTCTATTCCTACCACTGTTACTATTTCTGCTATTGCTACTGTTATGCGTTTCTTCATTTTGTATGCAGCACCTCATCTTACCTGTGAGACAGCTGCTTGAACTCTCAGCGTCGCTGCTAGCACTTTCGTAACAGGATGAAGTCTCAGTCGATTCACACGGTCGCAGTTTTATCGCGTTATTGCCGCTATTTTTCAAGATACCTTTCTTGAAAGCTGAAGTTGTTCCCTTTTGGCTCGGAGTTCTGGTAAGCTTAATGGTAAACGCTGATGAAGAGTTTGAAGACTGACCCTTGTCATGCGACCCTCTCTTCTTCTGATCGCAGTTCTCCGAGTTGTTTGATTTGAAAGTGAACAACGGAATTTCGTTCCTTGTGGGTGAGTTTGGGTTGGATTCCTTGTGAATAAAACAAATCAGTGATCAACATTATTTATACCATTATGATATCTTTAGAAAAGATATTTATATCATTTTGTAAATACCTGAAGAAAATAACGTGTCCGAATAGGGCCATACCATACCATACCATACCATACTATTAACCTAACTTTGGCTGAGTGAGGGGCGGGGGGGGTCACAGGCAGCCCAATAACTCCTGCTACACCTTTGCACCAATAGCTAAACTGACCTGCGTACGTGAACGAGGGCGGCCGAAGAATTTTCGCTGGCTTTTTCTCAGCTGATCAATTGAACAATTCTCCATAAAAGCTGCGTTTAGTTCTTTGGTACCATTATCATCCCAGTTTACGATCACACTGTCCTGTGATACCGCGTTTCTTGTCGCAATTTTATCTCTCTTACGTCTTGTTAAAAAGTCCTTAACAATGAGCCTGGATTCCTCGTCACTTCTTTCCATTCGTGCGCGTTGCGCTAACGAAGCCACCACTTCGCGTGGGTTCAAGACGTGGCCGTTCTCCTTTCTAAATTTGCTTGCAAGCGCCTTGACGTCGTTTTTAGCTTCTATCAGAGACAACCGACGCTGAAGCGTTTCCTTGTCGGCCACCAGCCACCTACGCGGATCGTTCTTCTCCATGATGGATTCTTCTCCTAAAATTAGAATAATCGTTTTACTTCTAGATTGCAAAACAGCCCGTATTTTTTGCGTAGGTTAAAAGCTCGCGCGCGAGCGGTCAAATCGCGGAAAGGTCTGGAGTGCCACCGGGGCGGATCCGCCCTGACTGCCACCCTATAGGCGTCTGAGGCCCACGCGCTTCGCGCCTGGTAAAACCGATTTTGAAAAAATAATAATACTGACTTTTTTGCAGTCTATTTCACTTCCAGAAATGAGTGAAGTCAAAAATGAAGAAAAATGCCCAAGCTCGTGCAAATGTACCGCCAAAAAGGTTTGATTTGAATGGTCACATCGTTTGATTTCATCTACAAACTATGTAAGCTAGATAAACAGCTCATATTCCCGCAGGCTTCGGGTTAGAAGAATATACTAAAAAAATATTATATTATATTATTATATTACTGCTGAAAAGGGTTTACTTGAATGGTCACACCATAGGATTTCATCCACAGACTCAAAAGGTAGAACTATATACTAAATAAATAGCGCAGGTTTCGATATTCCTCACGATTTTCACCATAGAGGAGCTAACTAGAATAAACCTAAGGCCCCGTGCAGACGGACGCATCATTAGGGACTTTAAGATCCAACGACGCGGCCGACAACGAGAACGTAAAAAAAAACAATAGATTAATAAGCAAAACAACAACTTCGCACGTGCATCGCACTTTTTTGTTCATTTCTTTCCCGTTTTTGCACGACTACGTCGTAAAAATGCCTGATTTCGCCTTTTATAGAGGACGTAAACAAGCAACGACGAAATTTTATTTCTCTTTCTGAGCTTGAATATGGTCCCTTGAAATTCAGTTTCAGGAGGGTTCGGCTACATTTCACAAAGTAAGTGGTCAGGAATAATCGCTAAAAAGACTGAAAGAACGCAAATTCACTTTTTAAGCGACGTTCTTGTCGCCGTCGCGTCGTTGGATCTTAAAGTCCTTATTGTTGGCCAACAACTCCCTAGATTGGTGGATGTTACGTGTTGCGTCCGTTTGCACACCCTGTTGCATGTTGTTGGGAATTGTTGCCCAAAGTTTAAAATCGGTCAAACGTTTGAGCCAACAACTCCAAACATTTCTTTTGTTCCGTGATCGCCGAAGCGTAGCACAACAATAAGGAGCTCAAGCAACAACGACGGCGACGGCTACGAAAACGTCATTTAAAAAGTAAAGTCGCTCTGCTTCAGACTGTTTCGCGCTTAGTCCATCTCGTTCAGTTCCTCAAATGTTGGCAACTTTTTCTGGAGCTGAATTCTAAGAGACTGTATCAAAGTTCAGAAAAAGAAAAAGAAACTCGTCTTATGTTCCCGTCCTCGACAAAACGTGAAATGAGGCACTTTCACGTTGTAGTTGTGCAACGACGGCTAAGAAATGTACAAAAAAGCGTGATGCACGTGCAAAGCCGTTGTTTTGTCAATCTAAACCAATTGCTTTTTTTTTTTTTGCCGTTCTCGTTGCCGTCGCTGTCGTAATTGCTTAAGCTCGCTAATGTTGCATCCACAGTGCCACACACGTGCATTACACATGATCTCCAAAGTCTTATGGGTTGTATCCTTTCCACGATGCACTGCAGGTCCCAACATTGTTGCGAGTTCTTGCATCCGTTTATACACCACTGCCAACACGGACGCAACAACTCCCAACATTGTTGGCCCACCAATGTTGAGAGTTGTACGTCCGTTTGCACTTAGTTTAACTCTTCCCTTTTTATTCTGCGAGCCAATCCGTTCCCATAGTTCCATAGGTTTAACCAAAGTTGCATCCGATATGAACGCTGCAAGTCCGTGCCCTTTAATATCTTACCCCCATCCTCATCTGTTACTGTTTGATGCAGCTGTCGCTGTTTTTGTTGTTTTTCGTATGTCTGTCGAGCTATCTTCGCCAACTGATCCTTCTCTTCTGGGTAGTACTCAATCACTTCCTCTAGATCCTTTTTTGAAAGTCGGAAAAGATCGGAGAAGCCTACTGAACGGACCGAAGCTGTCCGACGGTTGCCGATCCCGTTCATATCGAGGATGCTTATCTCGCCGAAGTGTCGACCGGCCAACAGCTTAGCCAACACATTACCCTTCTTGTCTACGACTTCCAGCTCGCCTTTGTTCACAATGAACATTTCTCGGCCAATTTCGTCTTCGCGACAGACGTGGTCTCCTGTATTAAAAATAACCAAGAAGCGTATTATCGTCAATCAGAATAAAATAAAACTAATAGGCGCTTCATAAATGTAATATTCAGCGGTTTAATCACAATCATCACAATAATTCTCATAATGATTACTTCCCTGAGAAAGATAGTACGGTGCACTTGCTGAACAGGTTACGTACGATTGAGCGACAAACCGTACTTGTGAAATGCAACAATCAGATATGTTTAAAATGTTTTTACTTAGGTGGCTCGCAAGATTCTTTTTGCAGTGCGTGAGATTGAGCGACGAATGTATCAGGAAGAGAGGGAGGAACACTATATACGACTGAACTTGAGTTTAAGTTATCTTACCAGGGGAACAAAGCATTGGTTTCAGCTTCAGCACAAGCTCTCGTAAGAATCCTGGGTCACATTTCTCAAACATCTTAACTTTTTTCAGTGTGTCAAGGTTGACATGAATGGCGATTTCAGCGCGGAAGTTATCATTGAGCTGTTGAAAAAGTTGATCCTCGCTCATGTCCTTCTTGTACCTCCAGGCAAAGTCAAACCATTGTACTACGCGGCGTTGTAGATCCATGGGCAGCTGGTTGGCGGCGATGTATTCTTTCATTCCGTCGAGCTACAGATAAAACAGTTGTAAAAGGGTGAGGTGAGTACGGAAGAAGAATTGCGGTCGTTTCCCCGAAAGGCGATTCGCCTGAAGGCGTTCGCGAGGACTGAATCGATTCGCCCGATGACATATATACACTCTACAACATGGTAAACCTACTTCTCCGAGATGTTATTCTAGTTAACCTTAGTTTCCACATGTTCAGTCACTGTCTTTCCATGCTTATTCCTTTTTCTTAGGCTTAAATAACGACAAATACACATAGACGAATCGATTTAGCTGGGGCGAACTACCATCGAGCGAAACGACCCGATACCTAGAAGAAAACGTTAATTTGACCGTACTCCGTAACACACCCCGCGAAAATGTAATGCGCAATACGTTCTTGGCCAGAAAGAGTGTAAGGATAACAGTAGTATGTCTTGTCAGTAACCGTCCTCACTTCAGGAGGCTCCTCCTAATAGAGCTGAAGGCTATTCGCCATGATGTAAGCCAGTGAAAATCTGACTACGATTTGCGACCACAAAGCTTATTAGGATCGTTTGCAGGGCCGGCATGAAGGTCAACAAAAATGGCGCAGAGGCGCTACAAGTGCTGTGTTCCGAACTACAACTAGTAATAACCAAAAGTTAAGGGAGTGCAGGCGACAACAACCCAAGGTCAAAACGCATTTGCTCAAACGCTGTGCTCTGCGTAAGTTTCACGTGATAGATGGTCAAAACACGCGTGATCACATTGCGAGTGATAGAAGGTCCAAAGGCGAGTGATCAAATTGCGTTCTGTGCATTCCACTCATTCTTAGTGTAAGTCCAAACGAATGCTGACTACATACATGCAACGCATGCGTAATAACAACCAGGAGATTAGGATTGCGGGCTTCTCTTGTCGCCCGCAATAATAATTTTAGAGATGCGACTAATCTTCACTTTCACAGAATTCCTAAAGACCCTGATGCACCAGGTATGTCCTCTTCATAGAGAAGAGGAGTGATGACATAAAAAAAAATAAATTTGTGAAATTATGTAATTGCCGTTATTGGTTGGCATATCCAGAAATAATAAGATGAAAAATGTCCACGTGGTAAAATCAGCCTGTTGGTGCAAATTGGTGAGGAGATATAAACAACCTCATGCTCCGATGTATCCAGAGTATCCATATAAATCCTTCTTTAATTGTCCTGGATCGTTAACGTTACCATATTCGGAAAATGTTTTACCAAAATTTTCAAAGCTTTGTATAGAGACGCCATGTTGGTGTCCCTTTGAGTGGCACAAGTATGGCGGCCGGAAACCAACAGAAACATCTGGCTTTGAGTTTTCCAACAAAAGCGTAAATATATCACCTGAGGAACTCAGAAAGATTAAAGTAATATTCATTCTGAGACAAAGAATGTTTAGATAACAAAATCTCAAAAAATCGGTAACGTTTTTAACCCAGATAAGAGCTTTCCCGGCTGCGTCACCCAAAAGCTTGGAAATTCAAGCGTCCTCTATCGTAAAACGGAGACCCTTTCGAACCAAAGATTTGTTTTAATTAAGAATTTTGGTGACGTAATGTGAAAAACAAGAGTAAACAAAACTGCTTACCTTTCTGTGATACTTCTCTCTATGACGTCTCAGATCCACTATCATATCCGCTGCGTTGCCCACAATAGTGGCAAAAATGAGCACTCCACAGAGGTATGTAAAGATGCAGAATATTAGGCTCATGGTGGTCTGCGGTGGATTCGACTTCCCCGTACCAACAGTTGTCATGGAAACCAGAGAACGGAACAGGCTATACAGGTATTGTGGACCGACCTATAAGTATTAGAAACTTACGTAAATATTGAATTTGCTGCGAACTGGGATCAACTTGAGTATCCAAAAGATAAGGGCTGCTAAGGTCGATCATGCTAGCCCTTTCACTCATGACGTAAGTGATGACATCGAAGTTTATTTGTCATTGTTACTTTTAAATCTGGGGACGAAATCCTATGGTGTTACCATTTAAATGAAACCTCTTCAGCGGTACTTTCAAATGGTACTATACATTTACTATGTTATAACGTCTCTGTATATTAAAGATCGGTCAAATGTTTGTGATTTTTGGAAAGTTATTGAATTATTGTGGGGTTTTTAGAAAAAAGTAAAAATGTTTTGTTTCCTACCTCGGCCCACTGTCCCTTAAGAGCTGGGTGTAGCCATGAGTCGGCGCCAAATCCCTCAAAGTAAGAAAGAAGAAAGTAAAAACAGGCTACCCAGTGGATTATCAGAAACAAGTAATGGATCAGTTTCAACAAGTTGAAGAGCTTTGGTCGACCGCTGTAGATCTCAACGCGGTCGCAAAACAGGAAAAATCGGTGTGCTTTAAGAAGACGCCCAAAGCGCAAAAAAGGCCTGGGACCGAGCACAAGGTAGAGCAAATCTGTCGGAAGAATGGAGACACAGTCGAGGAAGAACCCGTAAGACCTGACGTAGTGTTTGGCCAGCTGTTTTGTATCCGTGACTATCTTGCCATCCAGGAAGTAGCCCGTGCGAAACTGGACGATGATATCCAGGAGAAATATAAAATCACAACTGTAGTCGATGGCCATGAAAGGAATGACATATTTCTGCTCTCGCACGAAGAATGCCACCCGGAAAATGATGACCCAGTAGTTGTACAAAATGCCGAGTGTAACTGTTAGCAGCCAGAAGAAATAAACATTGCCTGATGGATCGAACACAAGTGTGACGTCACAGCAGAAACGGCTAGGGCTGTCGCGGTCAGGTGAGGAGTCTGATGCATCGCGGGAACTTGCGGTCCCCTCAGATGTTGGGCTCTGTACTTGCGGCGAATTCGACGCTGATCTGCGCATGAGCGGCCGACGCCAGTCCCTGTCGTCCTGATATGTATATCGTTCTAGCCATGAGTCTCGCGAGCGTTGCCCAGTTTTCTTGTAGAATCGTTGCAATGATAGCACTTTAAGCACCGAACTTGCAAATCGTGTTTGGCCAGTAGATTCTATGACGAGACGAGGAATTCGCGGCCCCTCCTCCGCCGAATTTGAGGAAGTTTCCTCTTGACCTTTACAGAGCTGTCTAGGTCGCTCCATATTTTGTCTCTTCGATCTCAGTGACGCCTGCGTAGAATAATTAATGTCCAGTTTCATTAAAAAGGTATATTTAAAATTGCTAATGGGTTTTAGTTTGAGTTAAAAGATGAAAGATGTTATCGAGAAGAGCCGAAGTGTGACGTCACATAAATTCAAATTTGTGAAATTATGGGATAGGTCAACATATCTAGAAAGAACAATATGAAAAATGTTCAATTGATAAAAATCAACCTTTAAGTGCAAATTGGCGGGGAGATATAAGTAACTCTATGCTCTGATGACTCCATACAAATCCTTATGTTGGCTTGGATAGAAACGTTTACCATCCAGGCACATTTAAGATTTTATATGGAGTCATTTGAGCATAACAATGCTTAAACATCCCCGCCAGTTTGCTCTAAAAGGCTGATTTTTGACAAGTGAACATTTTTCACCTCGTTCTTTCTGGAAAAGTTAACCTCTCCCATAATTTCACAAAAATTAGTTTTTGTGACGTCATCACCTCTCCTCTGTACCGAAACTTAAAATAAAAAAATTCCACAGTATGAACGTGACCAGATACGACTGAATTAGCAATGTCTCAAAAGCCTTACAAAAACCTGACCATTTCATTTTAAGAAATGAGGCTATCAAGTCTTAATGCAAAAGACTTATTTATTATTTCATAGCTGTAGGTTGGTTTTCTATTGCTGCGAGTCTTGATTACCTAAAAGTTCTCCCATAAGTTCCTGACAGACTCATTAACGAGAACGCTTCTCGAATTGCTTAACAGAGTTCTTAACACTTTCACCACTTCAAGGTGGTTCTGATTTTTGAATCTCTTGCGTTATGACCATTTAATTGGAACCTCTTGTAGTCTTCGCTATAACATTCGCCCCGTGCTATGTTTTTCAGCATTTTGCAAAAAAAAATTCAAAATTTTGTCGAATTTTCACTTTAGGGATTGAAGGGTTTAATATCATAGGTGACGAATTACTCCTTAATTTTGGCGCGAAATTTCAGCGTTAATTTGTAATTTCACATGTGAAATTACAAAATTGCCATGGCAACCTTCCGTAAGTCTCAGTGTCAAGAGGGCGACGAAGTTTTAAAATGCCGTGAATGAAGATGTCAGGGCACAAAAAGACGCTTTAGAAAACCTGAACACACAAGAGAACATCAAGAAGGATTCTAACAGGTATTTTGCCGAAATAGTCTGAAAAATTCTGAACTTTATAAGCCAAATTTAAGGTCTAATCATTTGAGAGAGTGGAGTTCTCGATCGATACTATCCAGGATAAACATGTCAAAAATCCAAGATTGCTAACGTAACTCGTCACCCATGATATTAATAGGTAATCAAATGGTATACTCGTGAAATTATTCCCTAATTTCACTCTTCACCATTTGATTACACAAACTAATATAATTACGATGACATTTGACAGGGGTCTGCCTGTTTCTCTCGTTGTTATACCTCAATAGACCTTATTCACGATACCCGCCATCTTTGCACGCGCTTGAGGACTGATTGGGTGAAAAGGTTGTCACGTGGTTTCTCCGGTAGCAATCAAGTGATAAAACTGGCCATTAAAAAAATCGCGTTCGAGTTTGTTTATTCCAGACAACAGAAAATGAACAACTTTTTATTTTAAAGACAATAATGACAACTTACGTGTGGAAGTGATCATTGTTACTTATTTAATGCAGTGGCGAACAGAGATGTCCTCTCAGCAAGCAATAAGGACGTAAATTTTGTCGAAACTCGAACCGTACATTTTGCATGACTATTGAATTATTTCGTTTCGAGAGAATAGACAAACTGGATGGCGATTATTCATATTGTCAAATTTTATATTTTGTGAAATACCACGTGACGTGACATTCCTTTTATCTCATCAATTCTAAAGCGCATGCAAAAAATGGCAGTTATGATTAATGTCTATTAGGCAAAGAGATTTTGTCTCCGAGTGTGGATGAAATTCTAATGAGCAATACCATTCATATATATCTGCTCTCCAATCAGCACTGTTGTATGTTGAGTCAAACCTGAGGAAAACCTCAATTTGTGACCATTCAATTCTGAAGCTATACTACTGAGCAATACTTTCCGGTGGCGCTGCTTATATAGAGGATATTACACGGTGGCGCGAAGATATGAATTTTATTTTCGCGCTCGTTCGTAAAATATTGTTTTTGCCACGGGAAAATAAAATTCGTATCTTCAAGCCGCCGTGTAATCTTTTTTTTATTATATAGATAAAAATAACATCGGTAAAATAATAGAGGAAATTACCAAAATTACGTCATCGATAAACTCGGGTTTGATATTATGGAAAATAAACCACTCGGGTCCCGGATGTAGTTTTTATGAATTTTATGAGTGGTATATTTTCCACTAAAACACTCGTGTCTATATAATAATATGCTCTACAAAATGATTTTAACTTTTGATTCTGTTGGTGAAGTCCTCAATTGTGACCATTCAAATGAAAGCTACTGAGCAGTACTTTCCTGTGGTACTATTTATTATGCTGTACAACATTGTTCTCACTATTGGTTCTGTGGGTGAAGTCCTTAAGTGTGACCATTCAAGTGAAAGCTACTAGGCAGTATTTTGAAAGCGTCTTAGTACTATTTTAAGTAGGAACTGTTTATTTTCAGTCGCTTTACAGCATTAATAATTTGACTCTTTGGATGAAATTCCGCATTACATTTTGACCACGAAAATAAACTGTTTAAATTCTGTCTTGCAAGGAGGTCCTAACGCCCACTCGGTACAGACGAGATCTTAAAGTGTACCGGCTTTTAATGGAAACTACTTAGCAGTTCCTTGCTGTGGTAAAATCTGTTTTCTGCATTTTCACAAAATATCAAATGATTTTGTATTCTTTCGGCAGAGGTTCTTAATGGAGTGAACCGTCAGCTGTCAAAAGACCGAACTCGTCACTTTTAAAATGACAGTGTTTTTCAAACTTTAGCGCGTTAATTCCAATTCACTGAAAATGTCTAATGTAGGTAAATTTCCCTGGAGTTGATTTCTTGGGGACCCACTCAAGTTTAGAAAGAGAAAGAAAATTTCCCTGTCGCTTGTTTATGTCCTCCATAAAACGTGAAATTAGGCATTTTCACGTCGTAGTCTTGTAGCAACAGCAAAGAAATGTACAAAAAAGCGTGATGCACGTGCAAACTTGATGTTTCGTTTAATAAACCTATTGCTGTTTTGACGTTCTTGTAGCCGTCGCGGTCGTCGTTGTTAAAACTCCCTAATTTTACTGTCAACCGTCAAAAATGTGGATCATCATAAGCCGTCAAAAAGCTGATCAGCTGATCTTCACGGACTTCTGGCTTCTGGAGAATCTCTGAACTGTAAAAACCAGTTCCCATGTTCGCAAAAGACTCTCTCTAGACATTACAAGACTTTACAACCCTGACTTGGTTATATCTGAAAATATTTTGAAATTTCATATGTGAAAGGCCAAGATAACCTCCAATACTCAAAACTTATTATTAATTAATACAGAAGTTAATATTTACTTAAAATCTTAGCTTGGACTAAATTTTCACTTAATAATCATCAACCGCCAAAAGCTTTAAAATTTAATCATCAACCGTCAAAATTGGAAAAAAACTAACCATCAACCACTGAGACCCTCTTACCTTCGGAGGTTTTTCACAACAAAACATTTTGTTATCGTTGCGAGCTGTATTCTTCTTGTAAACGTCACTAAAAACAGCCCAGAATCATATTGTTTATATTCCTTGCCGGTGGTGGATTCGTTTGGCCCTCTGTGAGCATACGAGTGGTGTGTTTTTTGGTAACAAATAATTAAAGTGAATTGCTAATTTAGCGCTGGTCATATTATCAGCTCTTACGTCATACAATAAACAAAGTAGATTTGTTTGTACAAATCAAGGTCCATGTTTTGACTCTTAGGCGTATGTCTTCATCACTAAAAGAGCTTAACAGATGAAACGTTTCATTGAAGGGCTCAATGTAGTCATTTTCACGATAACAAGTTCAGAAATTAGCCAATGAGTGAGCGAGACAAAATCCGCATACACAGTATATGTAAAAATAAGTGTTCGTATGATTGATGGTTTGTTAATGATTTTGTAATTGCTGAAGTAATTGCTATGTTTTCGTTTTCGGCATAAAACTGCGAAGTTTATTTTATCTTTTCCTTGAAATTCTCGGAACTATGAAGCCGTGAAGTTTCTATGTTTAAGGACGAGAATATCTGGCGCGACCTTTTAACAGTACAAGGTAATGTTCAGTTGGGATTGTGTTTCCGCTGTTGTGCGCATGCACTTGTGATGACGCTCTATTTCTTTTGCTCGATATTTCGTAGGTTCTTAGCCATTTAGTAGACAACTGGGAAGATGTTCTTGCCGGATTAAACTTACAAGTACTGAAAAGTGAAAATCGAAGATTTGAACCAAAGCAAACTATCAAAGCATGTTGAACTTCACACTTTTACATAGTTTATAAGCGGACAAAAGTTTGATTGTTTTGAAAAAATATCTTCAGCCGTAATCTGTGGATAACTTTAAATTTATATTGACTTTTTTGATTAATTATGCCTTTAAGCAATTTCAAAAACAAATAGAGTTACTATTTAGCTAAGAAGAGTAAGTTTTTAACCGTTACCGCGCTAAAGTTATCAGACCTTAGCCTTAAACAGTGCGTTTTTACATAGGGTTGCCAGAGTTCGCTAAGATTCTACTTTCTACTTAGTAAGGTGTAAAACATCACGAAAGTTTTGTTTATTCTTTTCCGTGCCAATTAAAAGCCAGCTGGTCATTTTTTACTCCGTCGGTGGTAGCGTTTTAGTTTTTTTTTTGGAAATTATAGGAAATTACTTCAGATTGTTTAGTTCTCTCGAGCTCTTTAAGAGATATTAGCTTGTGCTTGTTCGTAGCGTTGGTTTTTTCGTATATATTCCAGTCTATTTATTTAATTTGAAGTAACATCTATAAAAGAAAAAAAGAAACATTTAAATTCCTAACAACTTGATGTTTCAGGCAAAACACATCTCTGAACGACTTAAATCAAAGAATGCTTACCGCAATATATCAAAAACGAGACAAAGTGTTTCATCACTTGTCAAACTCTCGGAATAATCAGTTTTAAAATAAGACACGTGTGGGAGTATTTTCCACAAAATTCCATGTGTGATGAAAAAAACTGTTTCTTGTGTTTTTAGCCTGCTAGAATGCCCTTCGTTTCGAGTGGCGAGGGAAGCGAGCAGCAGGAGACAAACGCGCGAGCGAGTAGCAAAGCCGCGAGAACTGAAGGAAAACCCAGGCGGAAAGAAAACTATCAAAGATCGTCGCAAGTGCTCCTTTCTTTCCGCCCCCTCGCTTTCTCTGACTAGGAACTATACTATGGTTTATCGAGAAAAGAAAGTATTCCAAATGGTTTGGCTGCCGTCTCATTGTTTTCGGTACACAGACTTGACGTCACATTAGAACGCTTTATGTAACGATAGTTCGCGTCACGTAAGCAGTTGCAGGCTTATTGGTTATTTAAAGAGGGTTATTTTGATTCAGAAAAAAAAAGCGACGGAAACCGCAAAAGCGCTGTCAAAATATTTGAAAATCGCAAACGTCATTGATCGCGTAGGGCCAATTCAGAAATTTTATACTCTTTTTTTTTTCAAAAGCTGTTATTATGGACGTCCTTGTTTTAACTACTTAAACAGCACAATGAGGATTTATGGATCAGGGTGATTCGCCTGATGTGAAGTTTGACGTTCCAAGTCGTTAATGAGCCACTACTGAAGAAGGACGTGGATGATTGCGATAGATTTTTATGCCCTCTCTTACTCTCGTGCTCTCTTGCAGCCCTCTTACGAAAACAATGAATGTAGGCGATGACGGGTGGGGGGAAGGATTGAGTAACGTGGAGAGGCGTCATAAATTGTCTATTCAATTGTTCGTTAGCGTCTCTTGTCTGGCCATTAATTATGAGAAAAAAACCGTCTGGAAATATCTGTTGAAAATTGATCTAGAATGTTCAAAAGCTAAAACTGTTTCGACCATATATCTTTACTAAGGCTAGCCTAGGCTTTTCTATCCTTCGTGTATTTTGTGTCTAGAGGCGACGGTGATTTGAAAAGATGGCAGTAGCCACACTTGAAATTGTTTGTTGATGAGGCCAACTCTAATGTCGTGGAGAAGGTTCCATGGTGAAGACCAGTCCATGTCGACCTACCTTCTGGTTAATAATTTCTACTCAATTTCATCTTTTACCTTTTCATCTACTTGTACATTTGAAATCGGTCAGCACGGTGGTGTTATCTTCTCAGCATGTAGCATTTCCGATATTTTCCCTAAGGAAGAAATATGAAATTACAGCTGTTATTTGGCGTCTTTTGTCGACAAAGTGATTCCGATTCTGCTAAATTAATATTTCGCTTTGTGTTTTTAAATCTTATAGTACCTATAACGCAAGTGTTTGTAAGCAGCCTTGGTTCATTCAATGATATTGTTTATCTTTTAAAGCCGGTTGTTATGATAAAACAAAAGTCCGAAGAGAAGTGCCATTGTTAAGTTTGCATTCGTTTACCTCTCGATATAGCGTTGTTTTGTTATAGAAACTTGGAAAATATTAAGGGAATGTTTTTTTATCAATTCATCGGTTTTTTTAATTGAGACTAACGTCGTGGCGAAGAAAATGTAAACTACCTACCTTTGTCCTAGAAATTTGGTTTTCAACAATCAAAAAAGCATTAATTTATGCTTCCATGTGCATAAAAGAGCCTAATAATCTCTTGGACTCTTGTAAATTAAAAGCACAGTTCATGTTTCATCTTAGCTTGTCATGCTCCACGAATTAACTTGAAGGCGCTGTGCAGAGGCACACGTAATCTGTAAGAAAATTAAGTTGAGCATGCATATTTTCACTGCATCTACGGTAACCAAGTGATCTATGTTTGTCTCACACGAAGAACGCGTGTCGCCAATAAACCATACAAAAAGCAATTTCAATTCGATACTCGACAGACAATGCAGCGAATATTTTGATAAAACAACTCGTTTATTTTACACCACATTCGACACCCTACGGATACAAAATTGTTAAATGAGCAAGAGCAAAATTAAGGAAGAAGCTTATATATCTCGCTGTTTTTCCTACGCTTTTTATTAATAACCACTGCAGGTGCAGAGAAAGAAAATGATATGATTAATGTGTCTGGTTCAAGTGTTCACTCAGTCCTCGACGAAGGAAACTGGTATTTGATAAGAAAACAGGTGGTTTTAAAATGTAAGGTGAGTCTCTGTGTTATCGTATTTTTCTATCAAATATTGTTGTAGATCTGGTGTTATCTTCATTTATGGAATATTGAATAAGTTCGTCTGATGCAAAGCTGTTTCAATTTGTCGATTAATCGATCAAAATACAAGCACACCTTTGCAAGACTGCTTTGGAAGCTTTAAATCAGCTATATAATTTACGCCTTGTAAAGATAGTCAATTCCTGTGTGAGTATAGTTTGTTATGTTTTTTGAACTATTTAATTCATCATGTTGGAGAGCTGGTTGTTAGGTGTCACTGCCGATTGTCAAATACTCCCAACTGTTTATCTCTTATAGTACCACGTCAGGGAAGTTGTCAACTCATAACCTTGGTGTGACAATTATATCCTAGGCTTACGTATAATTTTCGCGAATTGCGCGTGCTTTATTTACTAAATGTAGTAAGCATCTGCGTATAAAGAACCTACGTTATTACAAGTCACCTAGGATAAGTCTTATACATAGCTGTTTAAGAAGGAATCAGAATGTTTAGGTTCTTAATTCGATTTTGATTTGTATTCGGGGTTTTTAAGGGTTTTATTTACACTGGAACAACACTGAAGCTAAGTCAAAGTCATACATAGGCAAATCAGAAGATCAGACATAGGGTCTGACAGATTATGCTGCTAAAATCGAACATTATACTTTCAGGCATCACTCATGATACCGAGGTATTATGCTCGAAATTATCATGTCGTTGAAAAACTTGTGCTTCTTGTAATGACCGACACTTATACCTCCCGAACGTAAAAGAACAGTTTCAACTTAGATCTATTTAGGTTTCTGGGAAACTGCCCACCTACCCCTCCCCTAAGCCAACATTTTGCATTAGGTGAGAAGTAAGTGATAATGTTGGCTTACGGGAGGGGAAGGTGGGCAGTTTCCCAGAAAACTAAATTTATCCATTCAAATGATCTCAACAACAACAACAACTTTATTACAACCCATACAAGCAAAAATAAAAGAAGGGAATTAACGCCAATGAATAGAAAGCAAGAAAGGGGTATTGACCCCCTAAAAAACTAACTAGGAATTTTAAATAACATGAAATGAATTAAAATACTTAGGTCCGCGACACACAAACAAGATACACAGACTATCAAAAGTTTATTACATGTGCAAAGTGCGTTGGAGTTATTACAAATTGAGACAGCTTAGTTTATTACAAAGTCTTATGGACAGTTGTTATAAAGTGCGACAGATTTTTATTACAGAGGGCGACACGGATGGACAGTTATTACAAATTGCGACAACTTATTTATTAGAAACTGCGACATTGTTTATTACGAATTGCGACAGGTGTTACAAAGTGCAATGGAGTTATTACAAAAATTGCGACAATACAGAAGAGCCTCCAAGGCCGTTCCTTGTCATCGCTTTTATCAACTATTTATTCACCGTGTTTATTCGATTAAGCGCCCAACCTCGAATTAGCGCCCACCTCGAATAAGCGCCCATCCTTTAGGGAGGAAAAGCAATAAGCTCCCAGTATCGAATAAGCGTCTCTCTTAGAAGCATGAACTGAAGAAGTGTTATATCAATGATACTCAGGGTTTAAAGTTTTGATGCTGGCGAGTGTTAGATACAACTCGCAATAATCAAACTGTTTACTGTTCTCCTAGTACTGATGTTGCTTTTTGAAATATCTGCCAAAAATCTTTCCTACCCTTCACACGATCCATAGTCTGGTCATGACGTCATTTTTTTGTTTTTCTTGTGGAATGGAGATGTGTAATATCGAGGAACATTTCTCGTCATTTAGCCAAAAACCTGCACTCGAACTCTAATGCGCTTGCCACATGTACCGCGGAGTGACGACAGGCTCATAAATTCTTATTGTTTTCGCTTCGGTTTGCCGCAATATTTGAAGTGGGCATGCTAGTATATTGTCGCTAAGGCCCAGTTCAAACGTCCATGGCCATCTTTTCATGTATCGAACTTAATACCTATTCAGGTCGACCAAAATTATATAAGTTCGACGCTTGATTCAGACGTCGAACTTAATTAGTCGGACTCAATTCATTTTCACGATGTTCAATGATCTAAAACGCTTACAAGTGAAAATATTAGTAATTTATGCATAGGTTCGGCACATGAGAATTTCGAGGTTTGAAACGAAGTCGCTCCAGTGTCGAAATTCCCATGTGGGCCACTCGATCTTAAATCATGGGTCGATCAGGATTAGATATGTCCAACTTAATTTATTCACACGTCGATCTTTTCGTGTACTTAATTTAAGGGATTAGGCTCGGTACATGAAAAGATCGCCGTTTGAACAGGGCCTAAGGCTTCTGGTGAAAAACGTCCTTTGTTTTGATAAGTTCATCACAATTTGTCCATGTAAATAAAGCACAAGTTTACGCTTCAGCAGCGTCTTGTGTCAACTGAAGATTGGTACATAAATAGTACGTGCCTGAGGATCAAGCAGTTGCCCCTGCCTCAGGTGTCAGCAACCAAATAATCTGCTTGCCACTGAAAAATCACGATATTTTGCTGAACCTCGTCTGTCCAATCATTGCTTGTTATCATTTCATGCAATCCGATCATGGGATCCCTGTGCCTTCGAATGCGCTGGTTAAGTTAAGATACTTACATTAATTTAATAATTACTTGTCAGTAAGAATAATTATAATCATCGTCATCATTATTAGAAGCTTAATGATAATAATAACTTTTAAAAGCGATTAATATCAAAGAAATGCTCACCAAAGCGCCAAATGTCTTGATTTTCAAAAAAATTCTTCTCAGTTACCGTATGAGAAATGCATGAACAGTAGTGTAGAGAATTTGCCTGTTGATGTAAATGCTTCCGTGTCGTCGTTGAAATACAATTAAACTCGACATATGCTAATCTCAAGGTCACGTGACGTATCGGTATCAAATATATCCGATATGATCGACGCGAGGAACTTAATTGGAAGGTCACAGAAACGCGTATATGCGATTGTCGTATAGAGTAAACAAAATATAAGAAGTGGCAAAAAGCAATATTGTTACAAACCCAAACAATCCTAATTACTGTAAGAAATTACTTATGTACTTCACCTAGGAAACAACCTTGGCCAACTGACCCGCTTTTCACCCTCGGGCCGCATGTTAAGGGTGTTAAACTGATCAGGGTATTGAAATAAACTGTATCTTAACCCATTACTCCTAATTGTGGCAAAAGAAAAGGTTCACGAAATTATTCAAATTTCTTTTTAAAAAACCGGAAAGATAAATAGCACCATGCAAAAGGTCTTCCAAAGAGCTTTCATTTGAATGGTAACACCATAGGATTCTGTCCACAGTCTCAAAAGTTAGAACTACATACTAAATAAATAGTGCCATGTGAAAGTACCACTGAAGAGGTGTCGTTTGAATGGTAACACCATAGGATTTCATCCACAAACTCAAAAGTTAGAGCTACATACTAAATAAATAGTGCCATGTGAAAGTACTGCTGAAGAGATTTCATTTGAATGGTAACACCACAAGATTTCGTCCGCAAATTTAAAAGTTAGAGTGACAAATTATCTCACCATAACAATGTCAGAAGTGGAAGGTTTGAGAGAAGAAAATAAACTGACCTCTTAGTATTCCAACACTTCTCTTTCATAATCATGTTGGTGCCGGATTATACCTGACGGTTGTAATATAGCCGCAGAGCATTGTCAGGAATCTTTTGAACATTTGTTTTTTGATCGACGCTGTGTCAGAGATCATTTCCTTGTCGGGTTGACCTGAAAGCGGTCGTCTTTTTGTGTTTGTCGAAGAATTTTTGTTCTTTATTTTTGTAACGAAGTCACCTGTCATGTACGTAGCTTGCACCTTATTAAAAGTGCGTGCACTGGTGGGCCTTCCCAATTAAATGTAAATGTTTCCATTTCATAAAGCAAATAGAAGGTTTAAAAGCAAGTAAATTCGACTAGATGCCGGATATTACTTTGTAATGCGCATTTATTTTGGCTTCGAGTCAAATATAAATGCCCATCCTGGTGTATTTAGGCCGGAGTAGCATGACACCCTCGGAAAGATTTGTCATGGAGTGAATTGTTGGGTGCGCTGACGGAAAATCACCTTTGTTTAAATGTGAACTCAGCCCGCAATTTATCAAGTAAATTAGATGCGGCTGCCATGCCAAAGCTGCCGAATATTTGCTCGGATTAGTTTTTCAAGAGTCCTCAACTTAGCAGGAAACGCGGATAGGATTAGAAATTAACGACTGCAGTGAAACGTGCGCTCCGAAATTTCATTTTTCTCTTGGCGCGCGCATCAGGCCATGGAATCTGCTAAAGGTGAGCCCGTGTCTTATCTTTTTGCTAAACTAAAATAAGAGCTTTTTCATGTTACAATCCCTTTTAGTGAATCTGATAAAAATTTAATTTCCGCTGGTCTTGCGGCAGAAGTTCTGGTATCGTCAAAAGAAAATGACAAAAATAAAATCAGCGTTGTATCATATATGTTCGATACTCAATTTTAAAACATCCGTACAAGGTACTTAATAGACATACAGACCCTCCGGCGATATTCCTTTGATGACGCAAATTTCTTTCCTCGGAAATATAGCTGTAATCATCAAGACTCTCAGCCATTAGAAAGTTCACTTATTGGAGGGAATGAAGTAAAATGGAAAATAACCGTTTCCCTGGGGTTTTTGTTAATTGCTTTCATAGGAGGTTACAGCTTCCTCGAAAGATTGTTGTCAACTATCCTTTGTGTTGACCCTTAAAGGAAAAAACGATTAATGTGAAAGAGTATTAGCCAATATTTTGACTCAATTTACGGACTATTTCTGGCTGTTTTCGTTAGAGAAATCTTGCTCCCAGCAGTATGACCACTGGGTTTTTTCAAGCCGAATTCTTTGGGTTTTTTCTGTATTCAGAAAGCTTTTGCTGTTTTAGGAACATTTAAAAAAATGCTATTAGAACATAGTTCAGTATTCATGTTGCATTAATTCAGTTTCAAAGAAACCTATCATTGTTATTGCAATGGCTAGTCTGACCTCCCCCACTTAGAACGCAGTTTTGAATATAATTATTCTTACCTTTTGATTGAAATGGATTAAGTCACTGTTTGAATTCAATGCGAATTTTTGTCGTCTTTTTTTAAAAAAAACGTCTTCCGATTCCCCAATACGCAAAGGAACAATCAAGAAACTTAGCTTGACGCTCTTTTTCAAAACGCACGTAATTAAATTGTTGCTTCATCGCCTGTACAATTTAACTGTCGCTTGGCGAGTTTCTTATTACTTCCAGCGCTTAAATGATAGTTCTTTTATCAAAACAATCGCGCAAACTCATGAATTTTTAATGCAGAAGTCTTATATGTAAACTTTAATAGGATGGTAAATGTCGGCAGCACCAGCCCCCCCTTTCATCCGAAGCTGCACGACCTTTGTCCAATCACAACACATTGATTAACTTAGGCTGTTAGAAATGATATGACGCGTCATCTTAAGAAGCTTATTGTGCAACACCTCTGTGTGAGGAGCCGGGCTTGTCGTGTTTGAATTGGTCGCCATGTCAGCGAAAACATTTTGAGATTGTGTTTTGAACTGGAACTGGCTATTTTAGGGGTAAATACCAAGCTTGAATTTAAATGTGGAAAACGAAAGATGCAATTCGTTTCTAACTCCAGGACCATTACTTCCAAATTATATGTCAACAAAATACAAGCCATAACTCAGCTCAGGATACCCTGGTATGTTAATTTTATTGTTTTTGACCCTCTAAATTTCTTAAAAGGAAAATTAATTTTAGTTTAAGCCCGACTTAATTCATAGCGCGTAAACCTCGTTTTAAATTTCTTGAAGACGCCAACGTGTTTCATCGGTGTAGTATCTATTTGCTCTAGCAGTACATGGTTACGAATCATTTACGTAGATTTTTAGTAAGCAAACTCGCTACCTCTGTAAACCAGAAGCTAAAGTATGAATAATTCACAGGCATAAGATTTTATTATATTAGAGAAATATACCTTCATACTCTATCTGTTTGCCTTTTCTATAGAAGATTACGGATTATTGGGAAAAAAGCATTTTCTCTCTCAATGGTTAATCACCTTTTTCGAAGAATATCCTGATTGTTCAATGTTACTCTCAACAGACCAATTTATATTCTAGCAAAAAATCTGGTTGTTTAATTTTACTTTGAACTATGATTTCCTTCACCGAAAACGTAGACCAGAATATAAAGCCCGGGGAACTGCACACAAAAAAACCGCGCAAATAGTAGCCTGGAGATGTTTTCCTTTCTTTCTTTTTTTTTAAGATTTCAGCGATAAAAATAATACCTTAAATGCATTTTATTATTCTTTTGCTGGGGATTAATTTTCCCGAAAGTTGTAAGTAATCGTAGGTTTCGAAAATTAATCCCCCGCGAAAATTCCCATCTAAGTAGAAATTGGTAAACATTACTAATTTGGATTATTCGAGTTTTGGATTCAACGTTTGATCCACTATATTGGGCATAAACACGAGAAATATTTTCCTCTCAAGCTGAAACCCCTTAGGATCTTATCTTTTGTGACATATCGGCTGGAAATGGGAAACTAATGTTTTGGATTTAGTTTTGATCCTGCCTTAGGACTTTTGCAGCGCCGCACGGCACTTCGCTAGAATGAGCTGTGAAAATAAGAAATCATCCTTGCAAACTGAAAGAACACCTTAACGAGAATTATTCCAGTGCTACTAAGGTGAATTCATCAGGTCAATTGCGACTTAAAAGTAGAAGTTTTGTCGCGGGGTTTGTACTTCAGAGTTGTTCAGTTCAATCGAATATCAGTGACCCCCTTGTTCGGTCGTTCATCGCCGTTCTAATCAACGGTCATTAATTGTATTATTCAAAATACAAGCGTCAACATTACGCTTGGGTTGACCCTTTCTCCCTTAGACCGAGTTTATACGTTATGACCAGTTGATTCGTTTTCGTTATTTTTGAATCAGTGGACAAAATCCTGTGGTATTATAATTTAAATGAAACCCCTTTGATAAAACTTCTGCATACGTAATATTTTTTGTAAGGATTTTACAAAATGAAATTTTGATTTTTTTTTTTGTGAATTTACTCTGGCTGCAATTAGAAGTGAAACGGTTAACTAAGGTGAACATAGCGAACAAAAATACGTTTCTCTTGATATCATCGCTAAGCTAGGAATGAACTTGCGAACGAAACGTATGGATTGGCCTCAGCAGCTGTTAGCCATTTGAGCATGCGCAAAATTGTTTATAGCCCATTTACCGATTTTCTGCATTTATTTAGTCACCCAATGTCTATTATTTAAGCTATTTTCCATTCTTTCAGGCTTAAATGGAAAGGAGTCTTTTACAATATCTTTCAGTGGCCTTCTTTTTTGTGTTTCTTGTTTGTTTGTTCGATTTTAGCTGTGCGATTCCTTTTTATAATGATCTTATGAAAATTTCTCAGCAAGTTGTTGAGAAACAGTTCGTGACTCGGATTCAATTTTTTTTTCTTTATTCGGAGCTTTCTTTAGAAGTAATCCAAACATTTAGACGTTTTATCGTGTCTGCATGCTTTATAAATGTCATCAAAATATTGCCTGCGAAAATGACAGCCAGTGTATCATCTAGAAGGAGATAAAAACGTTGTCTTACCTTCGATACTTTTATCAAGAGATGGCTTCTAGAAAGACCGAGGTAAACGTTTCCTGAGATGCGTGTATGTTTTCTGCGCAACAGAGCGCGCGCCTGACATGAACGATTTTAATTTCTTTCGCTCGCAATTCGTTTAAATGGACAGAAAAGCAGACTTAGCGATCTTTAATTATTGGCAGCCTTAAGTGCTCTATTGTTGTCGATTCAGGCAAATATGCCAGGTTTTCCTTTCATTATACACTTAAACAAAAAAGGAATTTCATGGTGAATAGAGACAGGAGACCCATTTTAAGTATTCAACTGTCAGAGTTCCGTTTCCAACGTCGTTAGTTTCCAAAGGTTGTTTTTGAAGGTTGTCCTTTATTTAGAGGCCTTCCGCCGTCATTTGTTCGTCTCCGCCGGTAACATTTCCCTGTCTTGTAAACAGCTTCACGTTCGATTTTAGCCACTTTAAATTTTCCGCAAAAATTCTCCTTCGACGATGCCCTAGAAGTGAACATATGCAGGTAAGTATACCTCGTTTAGGTGCCAAAGATGCTTAAGAACTAACGCTCCCAAATAACGACAACTCTAGCGATTAATTTACTATTTGTTCTTTCAGACTCGCACGATACTCAGCTAAAAACTTCGCCTGTCCTCGAGACGAAAATGAACGAAGGTACAAGCCGAACGTCTAAAGTTCGTTTCTCTGCTAACACGGACACCTTTAGCGAAGATGAAGAAGCGGACATTCGCCATAAACGTCTTCTGCGTTACTTGTATAAGGGAGGAAGAAGATATAGTGAAGCGGAAAAGGCTTTTTTGAGTCGTGTCAGGATACCGTCAGTTGGGCTTCTTGCCGACGGTGAGACAAAAGTGGGATGGCTAAGATTTTTTGACCCAGGAGGTGAGTAATTTAAAATAATCATGTTTTATTACTTCATTCATTCCTCGAAAATTGTACGTTAAAGGCTATTGAGAAGTAAAATCCGAGGTAAAAGCTGAAAGTCATCTGAAAGATTCCGACATCTCGCGTGGGGTTCAATAAATACCCAAGAAAAAATAAAGCTTTTTCTCTTGTTCTTGGGTTAGCGTCGCCAGTAATCTAATTTTACGGCAAAATCAGTGTAGCTCCTTACAATACTTGCCTGATTATTAAAAATTGCTCGAGATTGAAACTGAATAATGTTTCAAGCCCGGCCAAATATTTCCGGGAATAATATTTAAAAAAAACCTTTAAAAAATGCTTCACGAAGAACTATACTGCGATGTGTATGTCACAATTGCAGAATCTTTTGCACAAGTAGTTAAGGTGGCTCATTTTGACAATAAAAACACTGCTCTTCGGTCTTGCTGCTTCCGATTCATATCGATTTTATCTGAAATTTATATATACTTTTTACTTGATTTTTTCAAAAATGGGAAAAGCATACGCTGACTGAATTGCTAACCAAAAGGTTTCATGACGTTGTTCCCGTCAGCAGTTATTTTAGTTTATCTCTCCTAAATCTTGATAAAATATTCTCTGTGTATTCGAAATGATATTAATTACTAGTTGAGGACGGAAATGAGACAAGGTGATGAAGACCGAGCTTTTAATTTAACTGATGTAAAAATATCTTTCCCACAATATATCAGTTTTTTTATTAGCGTAAAAGGGGTAGTTTTTACACCACCAAATGAAATTGCGACCGCATTTTCAATGTCACTAAAATTAGTCAAAGCTTGGGTCATGAAATTTGCGTTGCAAATTTCAGGTTTTTTCTCTTTTTGCCTCGACACAAAAAGGCATTTAACGCCTAGTGTTCAAATGAATTTAAGTCACTCAGTTATGATCAGTAATGGTGTTAGGGAAATAGGATGTTATATTTCTGCCCTATTAAAATTGAACGAGCGAACGTTTTCTGTCATAAATCATGCTGCGAGAATAGACATATGTTTCTTACACAGCTTTAAAATTCGCATGAATGAATTACTGGATAATACACCTTAAATTGATTAAAGAAATATACTTTTCCTTCGACAGACCTTTATTATGATTTGACGCCACTTCTTCTTCTTAAGGGTTTTTCTTTCGGTCGCTTTCATTAGCGGATAACGCTGCCACTGTCACGCCTACAATGTGACGACTGTCAGGATAAAAACGCTTCTTTTAGCTTGACATATTAAGATGTACTAGGACAAATTCGTCCTCCGTCTTTCTTGATGTGTCAAATGTGATTCCAATGTCACCCGTACCGAACGAGATCTTTGAAAAATCAATAGGCATGTTGTTTTTATCCTTAAGTTTAGATCTTGGAAAACGCTCTTTCTACGATTCGAAGTGATGTTCTTGTCAATTTTTAAGTAACTTAACGAAAAGTGCAAAATGATTTAAACCCAAGGGTTAAGAATGGCCGTTTGTTTATAACTACAGCTATACAAGGCTCCTTCTGAATTTTTTATTTGACCTATTGTTTTTAATTATCAGAAATACACTCACTGTCTATTTGAATTCGTGAAGTCGGTTTAAGAAAGCGTAGAATGGCTCTGAGGGTCCCCAGGGTTAATGAAAAGTAGTCTTCTTCCGGGCAAAAGGTGTAAGGCTTTGACCGAAAAATTACGTCGAGTTTTAAAAAAATAGCCTTTTTGTCGTAGGCGAAAACTGGCAGTAAGACTAAGACTGCTCACAAAGCTATACGTTCGAGGAAGTGTCTTGCCGCATTGCAGACTTAGACCCGCATTAGCCAGTCTGTAATTTACACTCTTCGTCTACTCAAAAAAACTGTCAAGCATAACCACTGCAATTCAGGCGCAGGTGACGAGAAGAAGCCAAAACCTAGTCCTAAACCTTACCGTTAGCCCCCAAACTTCAGTTGAAGGTAGATCCAAGTTAATAGCGGTTTTTGGTTTTTTAGACTGGATTTTAAGGTCCTTTAAAATCTTCTATTCTGCCTTCACGTTTTAACAAAACTGTTCAGAAATCTATGTGCCCTCTGAACAACTTGTTAGTATTGAAACATCCGTCCTCTTAGCAGTGAAAGGGACCTTAAGATACGAGATCGGGGAGCTAGCACGGCGACGGGGCTGGACGAGTAAGACTAGGTCGAGGCCCGTCGTGTCCGCCAGAGAGAGAATATACTTCAGAGCAAGCAATTTTCACTTGGGACGGCAACGGCGATATTCATTTCACGAACAAAATAGTATCGACCTTTAAAGACGATAGGAGCCTTCTTCTGGAGAGCTACTTAGACGGCGTGATAGACGACGATGAATTTATTCTACTATACGATGAAACCTCCAAAAACCCGGAATTACCATATGAATTTATTTTTTGTCATTATTTGCAATACAAGAATACGGAAACAACACAGTTAACTGCTCTGGTGCCACTTCAATGCTGCTTATGTCGGTTTCAATTCCACTTGCTTTTTTTTTTCAGTTCTCTCGCAATTTGGTTCAAGTTTTCAGCGACCTCTTCCCATTTCTTTCCTCTCGCAACTGTGCTTTTTTTTGTTTCAGTGAAGGGATCAGAAAACATGATTTCCCGGCATATTATTTCGTCGTGAAGAGAACTCTACACCATTGGCTTCCCAAAAAAAATTAGAATCTACATTCAAGCGGAATCTTTAATTGAAAATGAAATTGATTTGCAACTGAATGCGCCAAAGGTAAACACCGGCCGACTGTCAGGAGGTACAAGTCAAAGTAACCTTCGCTGAACTTTTTTTACTGATTATTGGTCCACTGTAACTGGATCTCTTTTAACTTCACTTACACTGATTTACGTTTCTTCACTGGGCACTCAGGAACATTCACGTCGCGAGTGCAAAACACAACAAACAATGGACTTAAATTATCGCCTTGTTTTCCTCATTTCGGAATATTTCCGACAAAAATCGCGAAGAATATGGTCTTATGAAGCACCAGGGTCAGCATATCTGAAAAGGGAATCGATTGTGTCTTATTGTAGATAAAAACAAGCCGAGAATACTAACGTTTTCGAGATGACGCAAAACAGGCTAAATGGCGTCCTCCACGAGACCAGGACGGCAAGAACACGAATTTGGAGTTGTTGTGCGCAGGCCTTGTTGTGTAAATTTACTTCCGGTAGTCGTCGTGGCTTGTCCCGTCCTCGTATGTTAAGGTCCCTAAGTCCCTAAGTCGGCTGTTTACACGTTTTTTTATTTCGAAACCGGAACCAGTAGAGACAGTGACATGAACTCAACATCTTCAGAAATCAGTCGCAATGTAGTTCCTCCTTATGCATATCAATACCTCATCCTCTTTTTCAATTTGGATTTTGGCGTGTTCACGAAAAAACACGAGAAAGCATTGTTTTACTAAAAAATCCCTTGCCACTCATCATGAATACTTAAAATAAATACACCTTTCCCTAAAACAACATGAAGGGAGCCATTTTTCGCGTAGTGTACCCTTTTAGTCCTGACTCTCCTGTCCGTTCAATGGGCATCCCAACAAACTGCCGTTGAATACAATCCGTAAGATACCGCAGAATATTTTACAGCTTTCTATATCTCTCTTTTTTGTTATAGCGTGGAATAAATTGTGATATTAATAGCTTATCTTAATATTCTCTTTGCAGGTGACAGGCTCTACTACTGGTTGCTAATAGTCTCCGTAGCTGTTGTGTATAATTCATGGGTGCTTATATTAAGAACCTCATTCCCTGAAATCCAGGAACGACACGCGATAATCTGGATTGTAATTGACTATTTTTGCGATGTGATCTATATCGCGGATGTGTTTGTGAGCTCAAGAACAGGATACATGGAGGACGGAATCATGCAAAGAGACATTCAAAAAATGCGCCGGCACTACTTGCACACGTCAGCGTTTTATTTAGACGCCGCGTCCATTGTGCCTCTGGATATTGCGTATATTTTCATAAAGCACGAGCCCGCGATACGTATGAACCGTCTGATAAAATATCATCGTTTCTGGCGATTTCTTGATCGCACAGAGAGCAGAACCAGCTATCCGAATCTGTTCAGACTGGCTTCCTTAATGCAGTTTATTCTTGTTTTAATTCACTGGAATGCATGTATTTACTTCATCGTGTCGCGAGAAATTGGGTTTGGCACCGACACATGGGTTTACCCAGGAATCAACGGAACCCTAACTGAAAGACACCTGTCACTCACAAGAAAATACATATACTCTTTTTATTGGTCAACTCTGACGTTGACGACAATTGGAGAAGTGCCGCCACCCCACACTAACGTGGAGTTTATTATTGTTACGCTTGATTATCTGATAGGTAAGTTGTAAATATTATTTTGCTCATGGAGTATGAAGGGGCCTTTCTAATAATTTGGTAACGAAATCTGCTACCAAGGATAAGGTAAGGTCAAAGTGCGAAGCGTCCGTTTCTGAAGCTGGGCGGACTGTGCCGGGTACTATTTATTGGATGCGAAAGAACACAAGCTGTAAACCAATCACGCAGCTTTCTCTACCTGAGAAGTATTATTCTCTGTGTTCATTGTCAACGGATTTGCCACCAAACTTTAAAATTCTCTCCGCACAAAAATATGTAAGATAATACTCTTTCGTCAGTTTTGTCCAGAAATGTACGGATTTTGGAAGGGTTCTGAAAGCCGTCAAAAGTGCAGTGCAATTGAACTTTCGAGCGACATATGTGATTTAGGCAGATGGATGACCAAAATTCAATTATGCTTGTCATTCCATATTTAGAAAGGCTCAGTGAAACACCACCCCGGGCCAAATGTTCATGCCTTAACTGTGGCTGGGATTACCATAGCCCAATAGTGGTCCACATTTTTCCTAACCCAACAGTGATCCAGATTTTCATGGCCCAACAGTGGTGTTAAGGTTTTCTAGGCCCTACAATGTTCCAGATTTTCATGGCCCAACAATGTTCCAGATTTTCTTGACCCAGCAATGATGCAGATTTTCCTGGCCCAAGTGGTCCAGATTTTCTCGGCCCAACAGTGGTCCAGATATTTCATGGCCCAGATTACCATGGTGCAATATTGGTCCAGATTATCTTGGCTCAACAGTGGTCCAGATTTCTTGGCCTAACAGTAATCTATATTATCTTTACCCAACAGTGGTCCAGATTTTTCATGGCCCAACTGTGGCCCAGATTACCATGGTCCGATAGTGGTCCAGATTATCTCGGCCAAACAGTAATTCAGATTTTCTTGGCCCAACAGTGGTCCAAATTTTCTTGGCCAAACAAAAATTCAGATTTTCGTGACCCAACAGTGTTGCAGATTTTCTTGACCCAACAGTGGTCGAGAGGTACCAACAGTAGCCGTATTGACGGAGTTCCACTTTATCCCTTCTTTGCAGGTGTACTTCTTTTTGCCACTATTGTAGGAAATGTGGGTAGTATTATCACCAATCAAAATGCTGGTAAAGTAGACTTCCAAAACAAGATGGACGGTATTAAAGCTTATATGCGTTTCCACAAAATCCCTCAACATTTACAACAGCGGGTGATTAAGTGGTTCGATTATTTGTGGATGAACAAGAAACATCCCGATGAAGAGGAGCTCCTGCACTCTTTGCCAGACAAACTCCGAGCTGAGTTGGCAATCCACGTGCACTTAGATTCATTAAGGAAGGTTGCTATCTTTCAGGACTGTGAGGCGGGGTTTCTTAGCGAGCTGGTCTTGCGTCTTCGTCCTCAGCTATTTTCACCAGGTAAATTAAAAAATTTCTCGTGAAATATTTATAGAGAAGTGTTTCACTTAAATACTGAGATCCTAGCAAGTATTTGATAATCTTGGACAATCTCTGGAAATCTTGCTTATATTTTTTTTCGGCTAAGCATCAATAAAAAATGAAGAAAGTTTGAGTACCTTTATAAATAAAAACGAGTATGATGTTTTGTCATAATGATGCAGCAAGTAACCTGCCATTGGCTGTAATGAACGTGAGCGTGCAAGACTGCAATGGGACGGTCATTCACAAATGTTCCTAACATTTTATATACTTCAACTCACGAAATCACTGCGCTCTTTTATATGTTGTTGTTCAATTTTATCCTTGGTATAAATTTTGTTTTCATATGTTTTGGGGTATGGTATGATAATGACCTGATAACGAGTTTGAAACAAAAGAAAATGAAGTTTAAACCAAGGATAAAGTTGAACCACAAAATATACGAAAAGCCTAAAAAGAGATATCCCTTTCGGGCGGAGCCTCGCCGTGTTCCCCGTGAATACGAGCCCGTGCTATTTAGTCTCAGCGCAACCCGTTCTGAAGACAGTATCCGTTTTTAATTGTGTATACTACCTTGCTCAAAATTGAATAGTAATTATAACCTGGAACAAACAAGGAAGGTTTGACCATAATGTTTTGTGAGTTGATTTCTTCAAGAAAATCAAAAGTTAAGCTGTGTTTCGTTTTTCTTGACCTACCTTTTTGCTGTGAGCAGTCTCTATCAGTCAGATAAAACACTACCTCACTTGTTCGATATGTTAACTATAGCATTTTTTTACAGGTGACTACGTCTGCAGGAAAGGCGAAGTCGGCAGAGAGATGTACATCGTGAACAGGGGCAAGTTGGAGGTGGTGTCAGAAACAGGCACCAAAATCTATGCTGTGTTAGAGGCCGGTAGTTACTTTGGAGAGATAAGTGTTTTGTGCATGAGCGCCGCCGGAAATCGTCGGACCGCTTCGGTCCGCTCCGTCGGTTACTCAGAGCTTTTTTGCTTGTCGAAGAATGATCTCATGGAAGTGCTCGACGAATATCCTGAGATCAAAACAAAGATTGAGAGCATTGCTAAACAAAGGCTCGAGAATGACAAGAGACGCACGAGCGTGCTTTTGTCAAATAAGCACAACAGAACTGAGACAGACTGCGCTGACTCTGAACCGAGAGTAAAAAGCCGATCTTTTGCTAAGATGGAAGAGAAAATTGCCACCCTCGAGAGAGAAAAGGAGACCCTTTTGGCAGAATTGAAAAAGCAGAGGGAAGAGTTTTCTGACAGACTAGCTGACCTAGAGTGTTCCATGTCACATCTTTCACGCGAGCGGCGTGGAGACAACGTTAGACCTGCTTCAAGATCTTTTGATTTCGTTTGGAAGAGAAGATAACTGGTGTAGTGTTCTTGACAGGAAATTTTTGAATGTTTTGATACTTAAATCAGCCTTTCAAAAGAGAAGCTATGAAAGAAAAAAATATATTCACACAATTCTGTGAGGTTTAGAGGAAGAATGATTCACCTTGAAGCACCTGGATACATTTATTCATGTACGTCTGTGAAGCATGGATGAAAAACCGTAAGGCAACAGACTGGTTACTGTAGAATGCTGAACCAATTAGTGCATGAAAACTTTGTAATGTTTGCACTAAAAGCAAAATTAAGAGTATTTGAAGTGATTCAAAAAATGGTCGTCGACCGGAAATGATTGCTCGGGTTATTTTTTTCAAACTGATGCATATGTGTCAGCGATACGTTTCCTGTACAACATTATATTTGGTTGTCGCTCTACTGTGAACAGTTTTAACTCTTCACAAAAAAACTGTCTGTGCACAGAGTCAAGCCCGGTAACTAATAGATAAGCCCATGATTGAATGCTATCACATGTACAATCCTTTTTTTACAGTCATCCTTATGGATAAAAGTTTACCAAAGAATTGTTAGAGTACCAAGAATGAAGTGGTATGAAGATGCAATTGAGAAAATACCGAACAATAACCGTGCTAGGTTCTGACATGTTTAGTGACTTGGCTTTCTCGTTCGCCAATCGGATGCCACCCAAGAAGTAGCGCCAACTGCCTTTTTTTAAGCGCTCATCTGAAACTCGGCTGACTAAATGGAAGGCTGTTGTCAAAAGGAACTGCCTACTTGGACACAGCCGAAGCTGCAATTTTCGATCGGAAAAATTCGGATTTAGACTGTTTAGATTGATGAAACGACCCGCTACCAATATGATGCAACATTTAGTCGTTGCCTTACTTAACAATGCCGACTTCTCGAAAATATTTTTTAATGTTTTAATCCTGCTTTCTTGTCTTGTGATCAGTGATGTAGTAATCGAATTAACACTGTCGTTTTCAACTCATAGGTTAAATGAAACTCGCCTTTATTAGAAGCAACTTCAAAAGTGGTAGAATGGCAATTTAATTGAAAAGCAGGAATTTTCAGCTGTTTGCCACCTAAAACTCGTTACCCTAAACATGCATAGAGATGTTAATAACAGAACGTACAGAATTGAGGTTTAATTAACATCAATGAAATGTCCTTATTTAAAGGCCATATTATCGTAGAACACTGCGCATGCTTGGCGTCATTTATAATTAATTAGGCACCTTGACTAATCTCGACCCCAGAGCTCTTCTGCGCATGACGGCCAGGGTAAGCACTGGGTTCGACATTGCTGGACTACGTAATCCCTTTGGCAAATCATCGGCAAGGGTAATATGTCTGCTGGTAATTAGGTCATGTATGGTGGTCAGAATGTAACGGCGCTTAAATCAGTTGCAGTTAAGGTCTTTTGTGAAGGACGCATCAAAGGTGATTTTCGTTCAGACAGGGATGATATGCTCTTAAGTTGTAGAATGTAAATGAAAATATCTGGCCATTCAATGTTATCTGATGATACGATGATACGATACAGTCTGTCAATGTGCCAGAGCGCTTTTGTTAGAAAGTAATGGATTATGAAAGTTCCCTGGTGCGAATGTAAAATGATTTAAGAATCTGTAGTGGCGGCTGTCAAACACTTGTTACCTCCCTAGTGATCCTTTACCCACCCCCCGCGCCCCACCCCCGACATCTTCAAGGGTTAGATCAGAGAAGTGTTCTGAGACGCTGCTACTGTTTCAGGTTGTTATCCAAGAAGACTAGAAGATCTAACCATTTACAAATGTCAAATCAAAGGCAGCACTTTCTCCTCATTTGTTTAAAGATCATGAGTGTTAGTCTGGCTGGGATCGAACCGCGCCGTACCGCTCCACTACTCTTAGGTAACCAACTAACTGAGCTCACCAGCCTGTGGTTCAAGTTTACTAAGTACTACATTCTTTCCTCGGTGACTCGATATTTCATCGATGAGCTTCATCTAAATTACCCTTTGAAACTTTGTCACTTTCATTACTTTATTACTTCTCTCACTTTCTTACCTTTGTTTCTTTGCCTCTTAAATCATCGAACAAGAAGTGCCAGTTCTTGGCAGCAATTTCATTGCATACAATGAAAGTTAACAACACCCGACCATCGCAGTTTTGCTAGTTAAGATTCTTCTGGTTTTTCGACCACTGTAGTGTTCATTTGTTCCAAGGTAATCAATACTTTCAAGCGATAGAATTCGTGGACCGACCTGTTCTTGAAAAGCTCTAAATTTAATCTTTTCTAAGCTTTCTTCGCAAAACAATTCTTATTCCCAGTTTCCACGGTCTCCGCTAGGAACGCCTGGGACCATAACTCCCTCTTTGTGTCCTAGATACGCAGAAAAACGGCATGCAGATTAAGAGTCTCGCTGCTTACGCAAGCGAGACTAAAAAGCGATGGAAAAGGAACCACACCATTTTAGGGGTAAAGGGATAAAAGGGGAGCCCTCCTAGAGTGGGATTAGATCGGATAGTGCCGGAGGTAGCCACCCTGATGTGTGGGACAGAGGTCCTGATTAGCTTCCAGCAGAGGTTCCTGCTGGGTATTCCAAAAAGTAGAAATAATTAAAAATAGTAAGCGCGCGGTGGACAATTGGAAGAGAGCTCTTTCTATTTTCCCTCTCTTCAACCTCCCTGCGATAAGAAGAGGCCTTAGCGGAAAAGAGACTGAGCACCAGTAGGGGAAGACCCAAATACCACAGTTACCAAAAACCTATGGAAATTTTTAAAAAGATGAAAAAAAAAAACGAACAGTATGTTCAAATTGAAGTTCAATTTCCGCTTTTCTCAACACAGTCCAGACTAAGTCCAAACTTTTCAAACCAAAAAACAAACCTCCGAAGAAACGAAGAGTATGTTCAATTTGAAGTTCAACTTCCGCTTTTCTCAACACAGTCCAGACTAAGTCCAAACTTTTCAAACCAAAAAACAAACCTCCGAAGAAACGAAGAGTATGTTCAATTTGAAGTTCAATTTCCGCTTTTCTCAACACAGTCCAGACTAAGTCCAAACTTTTCAAACCAAAAAACAAACCTCCGAAGAAACGAACAGTATGTTCAAATTGAAATTCAATTTCCGCTTTTCTCAACACAGTCCAGACTAAGTCCAAACTATTCAAACCAAAAAACAAACCTCCGAAGAAACGAACAGTATGTTCAATTTGAAGTTCAACTTCCGCTTTTCTCAACACAGTCCAGACTAAGTCCAAACTTTTCAAACCAAAAAGCAAACCTCCGTAGAAACGAAGAGTATGTTCAATTTAAAGTTCAACTTCCGCTTTTCTCAACACAGTCCAAAAACAAATTTCCGCTTTTCTCAACACAGTCTAGACTAAGTCCAAACTTTTCAAACCAAAAACAAACCTCCGAACGAAGAGTATGTTCAAATTGACAATTTCTTTCCACAATAAGTCCAAACTATTCCCAAAAACAAACCTCCGTAGAAACGAAGAGAGTATTTTTTGAAGTTCAACCATTTTGTTGAGGTTCAAACTTTTCAAACCAAAAAACAAACCTTTGTTCATTTTTCAATTTCCGCTTTTCTCAACACAGTCAAAAAAACTTTTCAAACCAACTGAACGCTAACTGTACTTTCATTTTTCATTTCTCAGCAAAAAATGAATGACGCTAGCCAGTACATATTTTTGTTGCAATTTTATTGACTTTTATGCTTTTATTTATGCACATTTTTGTTACACATTTTTCAATAAGTTTATATCATTTTAACAAATTACTGTAGATTATCCTTGTATAATGTAGATATAATCCCTTCTATCTCTGCGCAATTACACTAAAAGTAACCTTAACCTTTCTGATTGGCCGAGAGGCGTGTTTGCGTGAGAGTATATAAACATGGTTCTGACGTCAAGAGTTTTGGTTTTCGCGCGCTAATCACGCAAGCATGAACTTGAAGAAGTTTTTGAGTTGAAAACCCGACAAGTTTACTTTATTTATCCATTCCCTCGTGGGGGGAAACATGGAAAATCTTTACAAATATGCTACGTTAATTTTTTTTTTCGCTTAGGCTGACATTTTAAGCGAGAAAAATCCGTATTTTGGGAAGCATCTTTTTTGCAAAACAATAACTGATTACGCATGCAAGACTTCGTGTACAAGATTTCGCGACTGGTAAGAATTTCTATGTTAATAAGTGCCATAACAAAGAGTTTTGCGCTTTCCTCGTTAATTAAATGAATTATCCCCGTTAGATATGATGGTTTTTTTACAACTTGAAGCATTCATAAAATACCAATACGAGTAAAAAGTACAATGAACTACGTTCCTGTAACAATGGAATATTACAGCAAGCGCGAGGAAGCTTGTAACTGCAATAAGCTCGGGAAAGTGATGAACAGGCTTCCACAACAAGTCTCCGATACAAATGCACCGTATTCAATCGAGATATCGGCCATTTTAAAGCTGCCCGTAATCTGGGGCCGTGTTGAGGCGAAGTGCACTGTGGGAGTGTTTTGAGGGACGAACTTTCACCCAGTTTCCCTTGCAACTTCGTAATAACCAATAAAAGAAGCGACAGCGTCCCCAAAAGAGTTCTATTAGGGAGCTTAAGCAACAGCGTTTTTGAGGGACGGACGTCAACCGGAAGTGGACTTTTTGCATCATTGGGGAGCGGTTCGGTTGAAACTTCGTAAATCGTCTTTAAAAGAAAAAGAAACTCAAATACAAGTTTGTTAGCGTCCCATAAAAAAGAGGGCCTCACTTCCGGTTCTATTTTGCTTAAGGTCCCTATTGTGCAATTCGACACGGCAACGACCCAATCTCTCGCGAAATCTCGAGATGGCCCAAACCAAATTTAAATATAATTACTCTTGGAGACTAAACGCTTGGGCTTTAAATTCTTACAAATGTTAACAGACAAGCAGGCTGATTCTTTGCGAGCGCATTTTAATAAGATAAAAATAATAAATCTTTTTACATTTAGCATCATTTAATTTATTATCCCAAATAATTTAAATTATATGCCAAAATTTATTGCTACTTTACCCGTTTTAATTCTATCTACAATATTTCAATGATAACATTAATCTGAGAGTGACAAAATGCAAGTTTTTAAGTCGGAAAATATACTTCGACTGCCGATTTTAACGTGAAACTAAATACTATATTTTCAATGCATCTAGTCGCAAAAAATTTACGCCAATTCATATTAAAGATAATAAATAGACTATTTTCTACACTCGGAACAACTATAATTATAATCTTTACTAGGACTTGACATTTTTCAGGATTTTTTTCACCCCACTTTAGTAAGTTTCTAATTACTCAAGATTGCGGGCGTGTAACTATAATCTGATCTCACGGGCCGTGTTGGAATCCCATGGTGCATTGCGGCTTGCATATCCACGAATTCTTCCAGTACATCTGGGTAATATCTCTCATTGGAGCCTCCGCTGACCCCAGACAGGGGATACATAGCGTTTGACGACATGGCGCCTGGAGAAAACATGTAAGAGGAAGGGTAGCTTCGATCTGTTAAAGGGTACTGAGAATAATGCTTCAACTGATCCATTGGCGACATCCCTCTGTATTCGTAAGCCGTCATGTTGGCTGCGGGAGTCATCATCGTGTAGCTTGAGTCCGGAATACTGTTTTTGGAGCGGACGGTAGAGTACCCGGATCCTTCTGTCGCGTAGCTGCTTGTCATGTCAAAATCTCCCAAGTTAATTCCAGTCTCACTAGCACCCGTCGCAGAATAGCTGTTTCCATGGCCCATAGAAGACATTAGGCTACGCTGAGAGGAGGAGTAGCCGAATTGCGCTCCATAATCCCCTGGGGAAGGGTACAAGAAGTGCCCTTGCTCGGATGATATCATAGAGTATTTACTCATGTTGTTGTTGTTATTATTATTTGTGGGTGTGGTTGGCGTCATCGGGGTCATGGGATGTGGGGACAAATCGTGATACGAGGGTCGCATCATAGCCACCTGTGCGGGGCTTCTTTGAGGGGTCGAATCACGAGGGCTTCTTAGAGACCCCATTGAAGAAGAGCTGGAGTGTCTCCTGGAAGTAGACTTACGAACATTTACATGAGTAGGCCTTGGTCCTACCACGTCAATCTCCATGTCTTCCTTGACTGGTTTTGAGATAAAAAAAAATGTAGCTGTGTTAAACAGTGTTTCAATAACTGGGACGAAACAAATAAGCGCCACTGATCACAGCTTCCTAATCACGGTGCTTCTTTATGTCAGGCGAGTCACGTAAAGACCCCTGATAGCCTTGATAACCAGTGGTTTAACTTCAAAGGTGTGACCAGTTGGATAAAATATAGTGAACTTTTTTCCGTCGGTGTCGTTTGCTGTGCTGAAGAGGTGGGTTTTTTTTGGGGGGGGGTAAATAAAAATCCACGAATTGTTTATTTAATTAGGGCTAAGTTGTTCGTCAAAATAAAGCACCAACCTTCCATAAAGTTCATCTCTTTACTTTCACTGTCGGAGGACTGGACCGACTGTTCGTCTGCGTTGTTGTGGTTCTCAACTGTGTACAGAATGTAATCCTCAAGGAGCATGTGCAGTAGATGAAACGAGCCTGTGATAACGCAAAGAAAGGTGTGGGAAACTATTAAAATTAAATGGCTTTTCTGATTTAATTAGTACAGCCATTTAATTAATATGGACAAGAACGAATGATTGAGCAAGCATTTGTTAAATTGAAGGCGACCAAAATGGTTTTGACCCTGTAGTTTCGTTCTAAGCTCAATTCTGGCGAATTGGTAGTAAGCTGCCGCGTGCGACAGACGGAACTATAGTGTGGAAAAAGATAGTAAAAGAAAGCCAAGATTATCCAGGATTTCAGTCACGAACATATCACAACTGTAATTAAGTGACTTTTGCCGGAATCCGGATCGGGAACATTCGTGCGAGCATGTGAGGATTTCTTGATTTTTTCTTTTTTCCGAGTCTCAGCTCTTACTTAACGAAAATGTGTACCCCTTTTTAGCCACTCCAGTGAATTGCAGTAACAGACAATCAATGGAATTGTTTAAATACTTCATTAGAAACTCTCATTCTTTTGGTGATTGACAAGTGGTTTACATAACTTGATTGAAGGGTCAGATCATATATTTTAAAAAAAGATCACTTACCAAAACTGTGGGCACTGTGCAATGTCAGCTCACGAACAATCTTGATGCTGAAGAACGACCACTTGAGCAGGAAATCCCGTGAGCATTCTTTGTAAGTTTTACCTGTCTTCTCCACTTGCTACATGGGAAAAAAAGTGAATTGTCAGTGATGAAAAATGCACTCAGAGTGTAGTGGTTCTAGTGGCTTGGACTTGTATTGGGTTCAGTAAAAATAAACGGTCGTTTCGAGATTTTGCTACATCCATCCATGGTTCGTACAATCTTGAAAAGGTCTCGAATTTTAATAGTTGTCTTTCAAAGTCCTTGAATTCGGTTAACTTCCTTGAAAAGTACTTGATTTCTTTATTAGATCTTGAAAAATTCTTGAAATTTACTACCGTGCCTAAAAACATTTTTTTGCATGAGCAATATCATAATTGTAACTCAGATACAATTGCATTTCATACCCAGTCATTTTCCAAAGCGTTTGTGCGGAAAGTAGTAGAAAATAATGTGATCAACCATGACTGAAGAAGTAAAAATCGTGAATGACTTCATGGCGTGTTTTTGCCAATAAGGTGTTCAAAAAGGGATTAAATAATGCCGATTTATTGAATAAATCTTAGCTCTTGAAAACTGTAATTTATCTTTGAAAAGTCCTTGAAATTTGTTTGTCTGAAGTTGTACGAATCATGTCCATCGTAAACGTTTAAAGGGAATGGAAACTGAAAGGAAGGTCGGTTTTTGTTCCTCCTTTATCCTCCTCACATTTTTGTTCTGTTAAAACTGATTTCATATTCTTTCTATTCATTTTCCTTTGTAGTTGAATATCAATTTCAATTCCTTTACTGCAATTGGATTTGGAATAAGTGTGGATAATGATAAGCTTCGACTTACGGAAATTCCAAACAGTGCGTGGATTATGTATGACAAGTGGATGAGGCTGACACTTTACAATTATTCTGTCGTGCGACAAAATCTTACAGACTTCTGACAACAATTTTCCTCGAGAGCTAAAAGTACATGTACCCCATAATACTCACACAAACACAGCAAAATGTCCCGGGTAGGATCGTTACATTACAAGTCTAGTTTCAAGGGGGGTCGAGAAGATCTACCGCATAGTGATCGCGTCCAAACAACTAAAATGGAACTGAGCGACTTCGTATGACCCTAAATTTGGTTTCGGTAAGTGTTCGTTATTTGTTTTATCAGCCAATGGATGAAAAGATCAAAACATGGCATTTTCGTTTTCCCGCCAAAGAAACTCCTAACATGGAGATGGCATTGTTCGATTGGCCATTCGTTTTGCAGTATGACGTCAACGCGAAGTGTCGATTGATTTCTAGAAAGTTCTCGGGCATGAAATTTTTTCAGCCGAGCGTTCGCTTACATGTAACCAACCAAAAGCCAAGGTGCGTTTGTATCCGTCCAATAAACCAATCAAATCGCTCTGTTTCCGTTCCTTTGTTGTTTCTGTTTTGTTCGCGTGTTTTCATTTCAAGATCATACGAAAATCGCTCCATTCTTTTGAATTAAACCGTTCTTACTTTTGCAATGCATCGGTTGACAAGATTGGCAGCCCATTCAGCGTATTGGTCAATGGTGGCTTGCTGTTCCAGAAGCTGTGTAAACTCTTTGAAATCTGAAAACAATTACAAAACAATGCAATTCAAGATCTCACGTGGATAAACACTTCAGTTTGAAACTTTGCGTTTGCTGATAGAGTTGTAAAGCATGAAATCGTTAATGTTCCTTCATTGCAATTAGAGTCTAACTGTGCAGAGCCTCTAACATTATGTTATTATTCTTTTCGAAATTCCAAAGTTAACTGTGTTACGAAGTCTATATCAGCTTCTAATGTTTTGACTCCCAAACAATATTAATTAAATTAAACATAACTGTTAATTTAATTATTCCTTTTAACGCCTCAACCTTGAAACTGGTATGCGACGCAATATAAAAAAATTAATTATTATCTTACGGGGTAACTACCAACCTTCTAATATGGTACAAAACACATGTGCGCACTCTAAAAACACCGAGATACAATCAAGCCAAAATAAACCGGCAAACCAGTTATGGGTATACTTACGTTCGTTAATCAGTTCGTAATCCTCGGCGATCGATTGACTGAATGTCCACAAAGCCTGACGGGAAATGCCTTCAAAGTCAATCTGTTTCCAGTCAGTCAACATTTGTGATACTGGCTCTGCACTGTGCAGTACTGTGCGCGCGGCCTGTAAACAAAAACAAACAGACAAATCAGTCGTAAACTTACGCTATGTGTTTAACAAGATGCAATTTAACTCATTTAGTCTAACTAAACCGTATTACTCCACAGACTCGGTCAGTAATATGTTGTTTAAGAAAACGAGTAAGAGTGTTGGCTTCACCGGCTTGAAAAAACAAGAGCTAAGAGTTTATCAAACGGCTTCAGAGACTTTCCTCAAGATCTAGCTATTTATATTTTGCATAATCCTTGAGAAATCGGACTAAAATATTAACCGTTTAAAAAGTAGAGACGCCACTGAAGTTCAAAGTTTAATGTACTCCTGCGGATGTTTTTGACTTTGTATTCAAAAAATGACGTATTGCATCTTAGCTTCGATCTCTTTTATTTGGATAAAAAAAATGTTGGCAAAGCACGAAGAAGCGAAGAAAATTACATTTCTAGATATTTAATATAATGGTCTGTCAAACGCAGAGCGTGGTTCAAGACAATCAGTGGGTGTCTAGATTTGCTTCTAAATAGTTTATTTTGGGGAAAGGTTTTTAGTTTGCACTGTATTACCTCTTACCGTGGTCTAAGAGTTAGTCTAAGAGCCTTACGCTTTGTAAGGCTATCATCATACCTGTGCGAGATGTGTTAGAGACGTTTGTCTTCGGAGGGAGTGAGAGAAGCTCTTGGCAACTAAAAATACAAGTGAGCAATTCTTAGAAACTATGATAAAAGAAGGTCAAGGTTGAGAAGAAGGTCAAGTGCTTCCAGGAAAGCGGTATTCGCCAACATTTAGCAAGGGATGCGGGTGGGATTGGGAAAGAAAACGACATTCAAGCTAGCGAGGACAGAAGTTTGGGACGCGGGAGTCCCGACAAAAAAGAGCGGGTCTGCGGGATCAGGGGTTTCCCCCCCTTCCAGACCCTGAGGTAAGGCAAATAAAAACAAGTATGTTAAGATAAATAATTACTATTTTTTACTTACCAGTGAGTTTCTTCTTCTGTAATGGTTCAGGCAAGTGAGACAAAGACTCGGTCAACCATTCGTCAAGCTGCTGCGCAAACTGGCGGATTGCTTGAGTCAAACTGTAATTACAATAATATTATATAAATAAGATTTGTTTCGATACATCTCTTTATAAGCTATGGTGGTCCCCCGCTCCCCCCACCTACCACTCGATCTTGTCTCCCCCAGGAGGGCTTCTTTCCTGGTTCCATTAGTTCCCAGTGCATGGATATAGGCTTCAACACCTGGAGACTGGTCAGGACTTCTGTCCAGGGTGGTTACCCCCGTACCACTCGATTTTGTCTTCCCTAGGAGGGCTTCTCTCCTGGTCCTTTTACCCCTAGACACAAGTGTTTCCCTGTCACCAAAATTTTGCCTATTACCTTTTTGTGATGTTTTTTAATAATAGGTGCCTAGAACTGTATCGGGAAACCATCCTTCGATCAAAAAAATGTATTAACAGTAAATTACCACACTAAAAATCAGTACCTTGCTGGTAAAGGCTGAAGGGTTCCTGGGATGAGAACACCGCTTATTGCTTTGTACAAGATGGTATCGCACTGACCAATCAACTCTACCACTTCATTAGAACCTAGGACTTCAAGCATGTGACTGGGCATTCCTTGCCAAAAATGGACTAAAAAGTTCTGAACCTGAAAATGAAAAAAAAGACTTGAAATTTAATTAAATTTAGATTCTGAGACAAAATGAAATGTTAAGGAATTCTTATTCTTAGTATTCGAAGGCTTGAACTGATACATGGAAGAGGGAAAAACGTTCAACAATCGAGCTTACCTCTCCAAAATTCGCTCTCAGAATAGTGTCCAAGATTCTCTGACAATGAGCCCGGTACATGATCAGAAACGTCTTCACCTATGGAAAATTTATTTTACTTGTTAAAAAACTGGTCCACTCGTTCTCTGCTTGGGGACTTTACCACAGGTGTTAAACTCGTAAAACTTCACCTTAGGAAAATACTTCACGATACGCTTGATTATTCTTTATAGTGTTCGTCATTCCTGTCTGAATTTCTGTTTTTATAAAATTACTCCTAATTCTTGCGCAAAAACTACTTGCCTTTTCATGTGGCACTTTCTCAGGAAGGGTCAATTTGCTGGGCTTAGGAAAGTCCGGTAGCAAAGTTCCTCCTGGAGCTGTCGCGACGTAGGCACCATTCCCTTGACTTCCCTTATGGAGCACGGGTCCTTGAGACCTTTCATCCGCATCATTCTTGCTGTAAGATTGACTGAAACTGATAACACAGAGCCAAGCAATCACAATTACTCAATGTTTCAGATGAATATTGAACTTTTATGATAAAAAAAGAATTTATTTATTTATTACAGATAAGAACCAGTTATTAAAGGACAGTTTCTTTACCTCCCCTACTGGAGACGGAAAAGTCATTTCTACCTGGCCATGGGAGCCACGCGTATGTCTAGCCATTTGCAGAGCAAAGGCAACACCTTCATTTCCCGCTATTTATTAGCCCATGTACAGCTACCTTCTCCCCTCACACTTGAGCTAGTTATTTAAACGCTTGTTTTTAAACGTACCCCTCCCCTATTTTCCTTTCTTAACCTTTTAGGTCTCAAGAGTGATCAACATCAATTTTCTCCTAACAAAATCAGCAGATCATCAAGAGTAAAGGTTATGAGAATTACTAAATTGATCACCAACGGCATAATGCTTTGATATTAAACCAAATTCTTTCAACTATGGAGAATTGGTATGCGGATCTTTGGGGATTAAAGGGATAAGAAATTTGCAAAGATCACCCAAAAGCATTTGTCCAAAGATGTCTGCCTTACTGAGGCATACTTAGGTCGAATGAAAAAGGGAAGGAATTGTCTGAAGAACAAGGCATTAGACCGCGATACCTGCTTAAACCTTTAACTCCTAAAAGTGATTGGTAAAATTAATTGTCCAATATACAAGTGATGAGAATAGATGAATGTATCAGCCAAAGACTGTACTGCTACCTTGATATAAGCTCAAATTCTCTAAACTAATGTACAAGTAAATGTATGTAAGCCAGAAAGGAGAGTTACTACTTCGATCTTTAGATATTTCTTACCCAGTGTTGCTCTGTCTGGCTGCGTTACAGACTGTATCATGGTAGGGAGAAGTTGTCTTTATGGTGATACCGTAGTAGTGGTACCTGGAAATGAAACAAAGTCTCATTATCAGTATAAAACTTCTCCTCAACATTGTCCAAGTACAGTAGAACCTCTCCTTTGGGACACCTCTATTCAAAGGACACCATAGTTCAGGAGACACAAAATTTGGTCTCGGAAAAATTTTTACAGTAATCTTTGTATTTGTCACCTCTATTGAAGGGACACCTCTATTCAGAGTAAAAGGGACAGTTTTTCCGGGTCCCGAAACCCGGGTTTAATCTCAATTCAGGGGACACCTTTGCACTCAAAAAGTGACCAAATACAGAAAGCCTTGATAAGTTTAAACACTAATAATAATGACGACAGCTTTCACAACATGAACTGTCTCACTTAAATCGATGTACCGCACTTGTGGGAATTCAACACACAATATCGCAGAGATAAGTCAATCATGATTTGTTATACATTATCTAGCTGCTTGAAATAATGCCTGCAGCTGATTTTGAGGCAGAATAAAGGAAAAATATTTTGTTTGTTAGTTAATTATTAAAAAACACCAGTCCAATCTCCATCAGTCAGGGGACACTTCCATTGGTCCCGAAGGTGTCCCTGAATAGAAGTTCCACTGCATTTGAATTAATTGGGTGAATTTTATCACATGCCTTTGTCATATGGCCTCAGTTTTCCTAGATACAATGAGTTATTGACGAAGCTTGTCCGTTCAAGATATCCAGCCTGGCCGGTCTTAACCGACAAGTTTGGTCAATTAAGGAATTATTATATGGTTTGTATAGATCAAATTTTCTCATGGGAACAAAGCAGGTTAGATACGCCCATCTTGTCTGCTAAAGTAGCCACTTAGAAGTCAGAATTTACTTTTTTTTTTTCCATGGTATTTCTGACAAACACAGGAGAGCACTTGATATTTGGTTTCTCGACTGGATATTATCTTTTAATAGATAACATGCAATGTTATAATCAGGTCGGAGACAAGGAAGAAAGGGAATGCTGTATAATATATTAAATAATTCCTTCTTGTTTCTGTTACGTAACGCAACCTCCCGGAGTTTTCTATCTATTGTATTTTTTTTGTTGGCGGGGTTATTTTTAAAAATGTTCCCTCGTTGTTTTAAGTGGTTTATCTCATATTTCACTTAATTTAGTGGCCAGTTTAACTACCTTAATTGCTGTTTTTAGCTACATTGCGTTCTCGTTACTGCATTCTTTTCTAAACGGCAGACTGTTTGCTATGTCTTAGAAAAACAGAAATATTTCGATAACATGTTTACTGTGTTCACTTGTAACACCTGTTCGTTGCTTTGGAGATCTTGTTTTTTATTGAACTGTTGATATTTTATCTGTGTCGTTCTTTTACGCCCTTTTGTCTTCAACTTACTATATGCTTCTCAATAAAGGCAAAACGCACGTGTAAAAATATAACAACGTTATATTGATACAGTTCAACATTTAAAGGACTCAGGTGACCAATATCTGAGTTATTTTAATAAAAACATGATGTTAAAGTAGTTTTACTTTATAAGTCTTTGTTTAGCATATCACCCGCAGTACTTTGTTGAACGTTTAACTTTTGCAAACTTCTCATATTAAACCTATCATAGCGTTCTTAAAACAATACATTTAGTCTGTTTATAATACTTTATTGACCACACCAGGCAACTAAGTTTAAGTGGGGGGCCCTTTTGTGCAACAAGTTTTTGTTGCAATTTTGTTAACCCTTCGCAGCGTTATACAAATTCTTTATTTCAAATTGATGGCGTTGTATTTTTTAACAATGGGCTTTTCATTAAGTGTTGAAATTCAGTAGTTGACTGGAATATTGACAACGCGTTTAGATCGACACAATACGCAACAATGTGTAACCATGTGCTTCTAAATACAGTCCAACCAAAAATATAACTTGTTTTCAAGAGAGTAAGAAATTCAAACCAACTGGCTGAATTTACACCTGACCGATCATTTCTATAATTATGGAAGACAACACAACGATAGATGTCCTTAAAAACGTACAAATGGTTCGTCTATTCCGACACAACAACAACTACAACCACCAGGATGACTTTTTTAACAGAATAACCCAGCATTGTAAAACAATTAGATTTCAGGTTATTATCTCTTACGCGAATTCTCACTGGTGCGAAAGAACTGTGTTTTTTTCTCAAAGTAGTAAATGAAAAACAAAAAATACAAAACTAGCAGGAAAATGCAGTCACTTGTTGCACTTACTTTGACTGACCACGTGTTCCAAGACGTCGAGTTTTCAAATTCGGAAAAGTATGTCGAATAATCTGAAAGAAAATTGAATAAGTGGCTTAACTCAGGGATAGTTTAGTCTTCTTTTTCTTATTCCACTATTTATTTACTAAAGAGACAACAGTTGGTTCTATGACGGTTTTCTTTTTATATGTTTTAAAGGAATAGTTCCCCCTTTATTCACAGTTTGCTAATTTGAGTTCATTGTGTTCTCATTATGGTATGCAATATGATACCTATTGCGGTGAAGTCGTGTGTGAAACCACCCACGAGCAGGTGTTATCGAGGCATCTGATCAACTGAAATGTGGGACCTGGCGTCTATAATTATTTTTTTGTTTCTCCCAGAAGATTTCATTATCAGAATGATGTCTGATAAGTGATGCAATGTTGGGCCTTTTCTAAGGAGTTGTTTTAAACGTGCGGATTAAATCAGAGCTCTTGAAGATCTGCAGCTTTGAATTCTGTTGTAAATTTGAATTAAATACCAAGAACATTTAACGCCTTTGTAAACATACCTGATCTTTTTATTCAAACTTTAAATTAACACATAATTCTCTCTTTTACTTACCTTCCCAAAACTAGCAGCATTCACCGGAGATAAGTTGTTCTTTTCGCAAAAGTCTAAGTAGTGCGAATATAAAGCGCTCCGAGGCAAGCTAACTCCCTCTGACACTTCATAATTTTCATTCAACCTACAGAGAAAATTTTAACAAAGTTATCGTTTTTACTATGGTCCGTTTTTCTTTCAGTTTCCGAGCTGAGGGCTTTAAATCATTTCAGTCGCATTAATTTGTTCAGAATTCAAATCAAATAACTTTTCAACTTTATTTTAGAGCAAGAAATGCTCACTCGCTCGACCCATTGGGATCTTAATGTTTCAAAGATATAGAGTTTTTCTTCCGAAATAAATGATGTTTCACCCAATTGAAGGAAACTGATGCTTCAGTTTGAATGTATCTGTTTCTACCGTCTAGCGACGACATCGGTCAGTTAAAAACATAACTGCAGAAAATTTATTACCATATTAAACTAAACAAAAAACATAACTTAACAAGCAGAAAATTTTGCACGAGGGGAAAAATTCTGAATACAGTTCTGTGTCATTTTCATTTCATTCCTGCGAATATATGCAAAGCTAACAACCTGCAGATTATTGGTGAAGTTTAAAACAAAGTGATTTTATCATCGCGCCCGGCCCTTTCTTTGAAAGAAAAGTGACAAAAGTATATTAACAGAGCGTACAATAGCAACAGGTTACAGTATTTAAATGTTTGTGTTAATATTGATACACTAAAAAGTGTTTTTCACTTGTTTCCTGATAAAGGGCTTATCCGCTTACATGCCACGGCCCTTCAATTAGGACAGTGTTAAACAGGAAATACCAACGACTTTTAACGTCAAACGCCAACACAAATTTTACGCGAAAAAAATAATGCCTTCAACAATGGTACAGTTTTGTTCAAATTTCTTTGCTATTATTGCACTGAAATATAAACAAGACCTTTTAGCATAAATAACTTAGAGAAGAATGTCAATTGAACCAGTCTTTTGATCTCTTTGATCTAGAAAAAAAATGCTGGAAGAAACATTTTTCCTTGTGTACAAGTGGTCAATCTCTTGTTATCATTTTGAGTGAGTTATAACTTATCAATTTTCCATTTCCCTCTTTAAAGTCCAATTTCAGAGTAAATTATTAGGCAAAATTCTAAACACGTGTAGCCATTTGAAAAGGTTTTTGGGGTCGCACCTTCTCGCTGTTGGAGCTAATAAATTGATTTTTTTCGGCGCAGTTGTAAACTCCAAACACATCAAAAAGTGCAAAAATTAAATTGAAAGAAAATTGCCGAATGAAACATATTCGAGAAATACCGGCAAACAAATGGCTGTTTGTGAAAATGATTCTAAAAAGGTTCATTTTTAGCACTGCCATATTATGGACACTATGCCGGAATTTCGCCCCAAGCTAAAAACTGATTACTTGTTTTAAGACTGCTGGCTTTGGGCTTCAAAGGGCTATGCGAAATAGGGCCATTATTTATCGTTGCCCATCGGTCCAAATATATGATAAATATCGGTGTTATGCCCATTTTATCGTTGTTAAGAGTTATAGTAATAGATACCCGCACTGTATACATACCACTGAATTGTCAATGGCGACTGTAGCTTGCTGTGAGAGACATAATGGTTCCCTGAGTACATGCTTTGCTGACCTGATATAAAAAAAAGAGCTCATTTGTCTTGTGAAGGCAGCATGCACGATTAATAATATAGAATTGTATTATACTGTAAATAAACCGCATATAAACACCTGTAGTTACTAGCCAGAAGGAAAATTAACTTGTCAGAACTCAAGAATTTTGCAGCAAGCTAAGCGCTAATTCTTGCTTGTCTCGTAATGTATGTAGACCGTTCTTAAATGTGGTACTGATGTAACAAAACATTTAAAAACTCATGTTTTTGTTTCTCTGTTCACGTGCCAAATATCAAACAGCTTAGAATGTCGAAGTATTGTTCTTTTGTACATTATAGTAAGGCGCATAGTATATGTAAATCGAATTAACCGTCATTTTTACGATATCGCTGTCACAGGTGACCATTTAAGAGATACAGTGAAGCCTCTATATAATGAAGTCCTCTTGGTATAACGAACGACATTTTTTGCCCCAGTAATAGTGAAATATATGGAAAAGAACCTCGATTTAACGAAACCTCGTTACACCGAATAGATTTTGCCAGTCTTTTGGCCCTTCATTATATCGAGGTTCCACGGCATTTCTTCACGGGAAGCTACAGGAAGACTATACTTACTTTAAATTTACCTTCTCTCTCAAATTTTGGTTTAATTTTTCAAAGCACAGTCAACAGAACTCCAAAACGTGTTCTGTTCTGAAGTTTTTATTTTAGCTGTTATTTAGGGCCCCAAAAAATTAAAACAGTGACTGCTTATATCATAAACAGTGCAAGAGGAAAATTACTGTCCGGTATTTCACTAAATGGGCGGCCTCGTTCTTAAAATTTCACAAACACACGAAAATAAGTGAAAAACATTTGTCTCAGATTCTGTCCGTCAGTTTCAATAAGGAGGTCATTTGTAGGAATTCCGATGGTTTCTTAAAATTAATGCTGGACTTATTGATAACCACGCAAAACAGAGAAAAGCGCATCTTATTAAAATGGTGTGCCCGCATATCTGATGTATTTTATTTTAGTGGGTGACCGTTTTAAGACCCAAAGGTTAAAATGTCTACTCGTCGGATACAGAGTATTTTTACTTTGCTGGTCTATAATCCTAAGCAATGTTGTAAAATTGCAATGAAATTAGACGAAAAGATGTCATGGAGCATAGCAAAGTATGAAAGCTATCGGATTCATACAGAAATCCACGATCACTAGGTTCAAAAGGTTTGTCCGCGAAAAATCTCCCTTAAATACGTTTCAGGCCCAGAAAAAACGTGTTGAACCAAATTTTGTTAGTTTTGTAGTTCAAGCTAAGAATCTAAGTTAATGCGGAACAAGATCAGATAGATGATCACGACTATTCAGAATTATTGCATTCACTTGTTAGCAAAATAAAAACAGCTAGCACCACTCAATTTTCTGTACTTGTATTGAAAATAAAATACAACTGCAACGGTCTTGTCTTCAACTAAAATTTGTATCTCCGCAGTTCACACTACCTTCCTTCTAGAAATTTCAGATTTGTAACGAGACACCAAAGAGGTGGTTTTGTTTTGTTTTACGACCCTCTCGACACAACGGCAGTGAACGAAAAAGAGAGTTTTTCCCAAGATCGCTGAGAAACTCGCCGGATATGAACAACTTAAGAAAAGAAGAATAGAGGCACTCGAAATTCGGTAAATAACTGTCATGTACTCTTGTAAATTTAGTTTTTCAATCAAAGTTTTGTTACCAGAATGGCTAAAGAAAATAAAATGAACTTATTGAAAGAAGCTGAAATAGAGGTAGTCACTACATACTTGTCAAGAATTTTGGGAATCGGATTTTACTGAATTAAACGAGCCTCTCGGTCAGGGCAATCAGGGTCACTGATTTCGGCACACAGACAAGCCACATGCCTTTCTGTAAAAATAACAATAGCAAAATGCGAGCAATTTTATAATATCTTTTGTTAACTCGTTTCGCTTCGCTTCCCGCCAATCACAAAACGCACATTAATTGGTGGCACGCGCTTGTCTTTGTATAAGGCTTGGAAATTTACATTTTAACCACGAAGAGCGTCTAAATTCACAGCAAGTTGTCTTTGATCTTTAAGTTCTATTTAAACAATTTCTTGTAATATTAACATTATATGCTTTTAGCTCACTGAAAAAAACTTCTTACCGAATGGGACGTTATCAAGTCTCTTGTCATGGATATCGCTACACGTATAGAAGTTTAAAGTTGTCAAAGTTTAAAAACAACCAAAGAGAATTAGCTAGACATTTTCTTTAAAAAATCATATTAGGTTCTTTCTGGTTTACACTAATTCGTCCTAAAACATCGAAAATGAAATCAACTTAAATTTACTTCAATAACTTTTTAATTTAACAATAATATCACCTTCCAGTTTTAAGGAACTTTATAGATTCGCCGTCAAATTTTTCCCGCTCTGTGAAAATATCTTTTCGCCTCTGCTACGACTTAGTTTTATTGGCTCGCTAGGATGTGACAGCCCTTAAACGACTACCCATGCGAAAAAAATAAATAAATAACGTGTATGAACAGTCTTTCACATTTTCGAAGGAAATCTCGTGTTGCGTTGTTTAGAGATAAATCAGCCAATGCGATGCAGCGCAAGGACCCTGAAAAGTAGGAGCGGTAAATTTGTTCGTTCGCGTGATATCGTATGCGAAAGAGACAGTGCGTACGGGTTTGCGATTTGTCTTTCGGCTAGTCGAGTCATAGAAACGATGAAGCTAAGAAACGCGAATTAATAATTTGAAGTGCTAATTACATGCCTTAGGCTTCATAGGCACTGTCATGCGAACAGACTTGTAATTCTGATCTCGACTAGTACATAATTAAAGACGGCGTCTAGGAAGTGATAATTACATAGCTACGCTGTAGAATTAAAAAAGGAATAATAATCTCAGCTGTTTAATATACCTGGTCCACGAGGCATTTTGTTAGGCGTAGTCCCGCTTCCAAAACCGTCTGCTAAGGTCTGCAAGGAAAGCATATTTACAAACAGTTGTACTGACTTATGCACTCTTTGACAATTTGCTCTGCAATGAGCCGTTAGTTGATCAGGCAACGTTTTTAAACTTAGGATTTGTTACTATGCTTCGTTTTCAAACAGCTATTATAGTTTGAGTAAACCAACCATATCCAGGGACTCGAGGTTTAAGAAGCAGCTCAACTCCTAAGGTGACTGTAAGAACAGAATAGCGATCGTGTCTTAGTTACTAATTCCAAAGACAATAGTCCCCATTGTTATGTTCGTAGCGTGGTTTGCCCAGGGCGCGTGTGTCAGTGACTATTGTCCATTGTCGTCTAGTTAATTGCTCTATGCCCACTAGATATACAATCATAGATCGCGGCACGCGCGAACAATTAATACGGACACTCGCCACGTGCCCGAGCAAGTATTGTTAATCGATTGGAAGACATGATCGCGTCTCGGAGAATCCGAATGTAAGAGTGACTTAACGCACCACCGCGGCTCGCAAAAAATTCTAGAACGTCCAGGTATGGGCGCCAGTGCATTGTAAATTGATTGTTTTCTTTCACGGGGGGTTTCGCTAACGTTCGCTAATTTCCAGCTAATGACCGTTGGCTCCTAACATCCTGTAATCAACAGCTGGAAGAGCCAATTTCTTTGTTTTGCTTTGTATGAACCAAAAGAGTGAACTCCAGGTGTTGACCATTAGTTTAAAACGCCTTATCGTCTCTGACTAACACGCTTTCCGTAACAGTCAATCGGCCGGCGTGCTAGCGAACCAAATAACACGCCTCGCAAACCCAGAAGAGGCGGATCTTTTGATCGAAATCTGCAACGTGTTTTTTGCGATCATAACACTGGTTTCGAGTGCTAACATAGCAGGCCCGTGCTGGAAACTTTGCGAAATGTTCATATCAGAAAAAATACTCATCTTTGTATCGTTTAGCCCGGATGATAGTTGTACGGACCTTGGGAGATTTTACCCAAAGTTAGAAGGTGTCGTTTTCGGCCCCTTATCGACTTGTTTACAAGCAGAGAAAAAATTCTTTTGTTATCTGCAGGAGTTGACATCCTACAAACAAGAACTCAAGAAACGGTTAACGTACGTTACGCTGTTGGAAACCTGAATAAGTTCGTTACTTTGTCTTTAAAAAGCCGTTGGACAAAAGATAGTGGGGAAGTTATGGGACGGTCAATCGTATTATCAAGCTCCAGATTGGTTTGAAAATGTTCGCAACCATACATAACCAGAAATCATAAAATTTCAAATAAATATTGGACATGAGCTAATTTCATGTATCTTTTGTTAGCCTTACGGGCAGCTCGCTATTGTATACTTACAGTTGAGATAGGAATGACTAGTGTATCTAAGCAATCGGTTTTTACTCGGTTGGAACGCATGTTTTGGGAATCGAATCATTGATCACAGACAAAGTAGAAAAAACCTTCGTTCTTGCGAAGTGCAGGTTGTTGGTTCTAGCGTGCGAAACGATCTTTGATCTTAACACAAATAGCATCTTTAGTCTTGATGGAAATGTGACTTTTAGTCTAAAGGCAATCAAATGATATATCGCAAAAGCAAATATATCAATAGGCTCCAGCCTGCAAATTTTCTCTTTGTTTTCATCCTACACAGGGATAAAAGGCGTGAAAAATCATTCACCGTGACATCAAATGAGTTTAATATCAGTGCCAATGAGAAAAGCCTTTCAACGAAACTAAGTGGATTCTTTGGGAATTGTGTTTACTTTGAGCAGTGCGCAAACGTGCATGTGCCAGTGGATAAATTTTATGCGGAGCTACAATATAGAATTGCGGCGAGGTAATTCACGGCTTAAACCAATACTCTGTTTCAATCAAGTGGACATTTGTTCGAATCGTCGCTGTTCATGTGAAGCGTACAATGTTTCTTTGAACGAATATCAATTGTAATTTTGTTGAGGGAATTCTAACTATCATGTATCGCTTAAAAATCGATTAGCTAACAATGAATTCAACTTCCTTTATTGACGAATTATAACCACGGCTTGATGCTGCGTGGTTTTCAAACAAAGCCCTCTAAATTTATTTCAAGTATAAAATTTCATGGAAGCCATTTTAAAAATTGAACAGTGATTGAATCATTTTAACGAATTTGTGTAAGTACTTTTGCCCATTAGAACTATTGAATAAGAAGCTCCTGGTTCACCGTTTTTGAGTCAAATATTCACTGATTAAATTTCACGGTTAACGTCTTTAAAAATACGTTATTGAGTTTATAGTGCCAAAAATTGGATTTGGATTATCATAAAATTTCCTTTACTTGTCCTTGGCGCGAAAATAAAATGACTGAATTTAAGATGTCGCCGGCGCAAAATTAGCGTCGTAATTCATTTCGAAATAACCATGGGCGTCACTTTTTTTGATAAAGGGTAAAATTTGTTGAACATATCGAGCTGCCGAACAGAAGGTCTGATAAAGTACACTCAAGAATGAAATCACAGTGCCCAGTCTGCTGATAAAACTATGATAACATTTGTAACTAGCCCACTGGCGATACAATGAGTGAAGTGGAAAATAGAATCAGCGTAGTTTAAACATGTTTCTTACAAAGCATTTTGCTCATTTCAAGTCTTTTACCGAACTCCTACAGGCGATCATTCAAATTTGCTTGGAATATCGTTGCAAGTTTCATTGCAAGGCTGGTTGTTTTCAAATTAGATCTGCAAAATGTGGCTTCATGAGTTGGTAGAAAAAGACTCTAGTGACCGCCAAATTTATGAACGTCAAAGTGAGTATACTGTTTCTTGATCCCGAAATTACTTTTAGAAAACGAGAAACTTTGATGACCAGTAGCGGACTGCCTCAAGTCGATAGGTTTGAGTCAAAAAACAAGAGTAATTGCAAACTCTGAACTGTTAAAGTTGATTTCATTTGAGTTCCATTTAACCCAGGATCGGTTCTCAGTAGAGGAGTTTCTGTTCAAGATATTGCCTAATGACGAGTGAACACACATCTCGGATGCAGAGCAGCAAGTGTTCCCTTGATAACCACCGGGGACACACCAGCGTCTTGAAGTCAGTTATACTTTAGCAACACATGCACGGTATCCGCGCAAAGACCGACATCTGTTCTTTGGGATAGAAACTTAAAACAAGGATCGTTCGCTGGCAAAATTCTATGGAAGCCAACACAAGTATGCCTTCTTTGATATTTCCATGCAACCGATTTGGCGCGCGGAGGGGTAAAACTGGTCTCCCGAGTTACAATTCATTCGAAGTCCTTAGTTGCTCACTTTTGGGTAAAAAGTTCACCTTACCTTAAAATTATTGACGCGTTTCTGTTAAAAAATTATCCGCATCCAAACTTTGGCAACAGTTTTTAACGTTCTTCCTCGCAAAATCTGTGCGTCACCATACCCCGAAGCATTGGCTGTTAATTTTTGTAGTCATTATTTCCCTCTTTTGTATACCAGTTTAAACAATAAAGACTAGGTCTGTCGTCATATTTACAACTTTTGATTGACAGATTGAGTTTTCCTAAAAAAAGCTCTTGGAAGTTCTCCACCTTTGGCAAGACCGCGTAATACAATAGACGACTAATTCTGCTTTCACCATGCATACCACACTTAAACTTTAAATATCCATGACTATGCTCAAAACGAGTTGATCACTGTGCATAATATTTTAATTTTCAATCTTATTTTCGAATCATCCAAAAAACGATTTATCTTAAAGGAATGTCACAATTTTAAATACTTTTGTAGCTTGTTTAAAAGTGTATCGGTTCTTTTAGGAAGAAAAACTATTTTTGAAAAAATATATCAAAAATACGGCGAAAATAAGACTTTGATTAGCACCTTTGAGTGCATCCTTTAGCCAAATGCGGGGGTTAAATAGTTGAATTTTAAAAACGGCTATGTTTTTCTGTTCAAGTCACGAGCAAATTAGTATCTTTTTTCTTGGATTATTTTCTCTATTTCCCACGAGCTATGGACACCTAAAAATTCAATTTACTTAATTCCCTCTCCAGCGAAATTCATTTTCCCAAACAGTGAGTCAAACTTTATTTTTAATTACAACGTGTTGCCTTCTGCGCATGTATCACCCGTTGAATTTCTCCCCCAGGCTAGAGACAAGCAGATTCTTTATAATAACCATGTGCTGGCAACATAAAGGTTTTCAATACAACAATTGGCGTTAAAGTCCCCTCTAAAAGAAATCAAAACCCTTTTTGGATTTAGTACAATTGCATCAGGAGTCAATCCCGGTTACCGCGTTGTAAACGCGTAAAACTGTCTTTTTCCTTATTGTTTCGGTACGAACTTAGATGATTATATGCGATCAACTTCTCATTTAGAATTTTTTTTCTCCCGGCCGAGTCGCATCCTCGTCTTCTAGAAAGCGTTGTTTCTAGGCAAGAAACCATGGATATTAAAAACCTCTCCAGAAGTATTTTTATTCACGAATTCAATGTCACAGTAAACCAAGGAAGGACAACAGAAAATATCGTTTAATTATGTGAATGTGTAAAGATCAAGGGCATTATTACGTTTACTTCTTGCGAGAATACGCTAAAACCAAAATACATGTTGCTGGTACTACATTGTTCTTTGATTTCAGACTCGGTGCCTGTACCGACGCCGAGCGAGACTTCCTGATCGACTCGGCTGCCTTGTCCAAAGTGACAACAGGTTGTGTGTTTTTATCGACCAAGTTGTTCTTCCTCAAACAAGCACTTTAGTTCTCCGATACTTCGATATTTTGACCAATTTACTAAATTATCATCGGCAGTTTCGGGGTGGAATTGTCTCTTAGCCAAACACGTGCAAACGCGATAAGACTATTATGAATAAATTTTCGCAAATCTTCCCCACACCTTTTGTTTAAAGTAAAATCGCTAATTTTTTTTCCGCGCGTTCCCCTCCATTTCTTACAAACGTCATTATAAGTAAGGCGAGAATTACTTTAGCAATGAGGAGGGCAGGGAGCCGGCAACGTGTTCGATGTCTTCTCATTGCATCTACAACGAAATCGGTT